GACGTCTCGAGACATCGGGAACCCACGAATATTATCACCATTCATTCCGGTAAAAGGTATATATTGCACAGGGTGTTATTTGGAGGGCAAGAGGCCGTTGTTGCTCTTTTGCAGGTTAACGACCTTCTTCGGGGGAGTTTTGAATTTTTACGGGGGTATTTTAAAGAAGGATTGACTCCCCCCTTCCCAAAAAATTTTGCTGCTCTGCCGACTTTTGCCCCTCCCAGAATTCGGCCGAAAGGATACATTTTTAACTTAAATTTAGATTTATAAAGTTTTTAATTTGTTCAATCTTATAAATCTTAGAGGTTTGCAACTCAATTCTTGCTGCCCTCAGGCGTTCAGGCCTGAAACCTTAACACATACAAATCCTATGCAATTAAAAAAAAATAACTCAACGAGGATGAACTGAAGCGTATAAATCATTGTATGCTTATTTTAATTGTAACAATATTCGTTAAGTACCGCATACAATTTCCTCCCAAGGAGGAGGCGGGATGAATCCTTACAAAAATGCCTTCGCATTCGCAAGAATAATCGCAATTGAAGTTGAAATTATCGTGGTGTAGTTCTTGCATAATACAGTAGAAAAATGAATTTAAAAAGTTGAAATCAATTCACAAATAGAGATGAAAGCCAAGAGTAGAAGCCTGTATTAAGATTTCAGGCGGCAGACACAGGATACGCGATGGTGGTACTAACACAAGGATGCGACTATTCGTGCTTAAGGGATGCGCATGTTGTATACACAGCCAATTGAAGGCGTTTTAACATCCCTCGAAACGATTATACGCGACATGCAGCATACCGCTGCGAGATGTCGCTCACTCTAACTTCAATTGTGCTGATATCTGTCTACATCAGTGGTGAAACTACGAAACTGCGTATCTGGGTATATGAGGTAGTAGATTTCTTGTCATGTGTCACTTTCGCGAAGTGCAAATTTACGCATATCGATGAATTCACACTTAAAGTTGGCTAGAAATTTTAGATGTTTTTTATATTTGTCTCCCCACACTGCCTGCAAAAAAGACAGCGCCACGACTGTCACACTATTGTGTTTGAAATAAACAAAACAATATTTCCAAGGAATATTACTACGATTTCAAGCGAAAATATTCATTGAAATCTCAACAAGTGACGTGAATGACACATGACAACAATATTACCGGACAATTTGGTCAAAACAGGAAAAAAAAAGGCAATAGAGGGAATTATAACGCAGAAAGCATCTCACAAACACTATTTTGCAAATTTTGACCTTCAATAATGATAAGACATTTCTCAGTATTAATACTTTCGGTCGCTCAAGTAATGATTTTTTAACGTTAATGAAATAAGTGATGATTTTTTAACGTTAATAATACATCCCTCTCAATATTGCCGCGGCTTCGAAAATTATAAAGCAATATTCTTTTTTTTTATATTATATTATATATAATTTTCTTTTTTTTTCATTATTCTTCTCTCTCTTTCTTCTATTATTAGCTGTTGAATTTAATTTTATGTCTGATCTGGCAGATTAATTGGGCATTCCAATGCCGGGCAGATTAATGTTGTTCTTTATTTTATGTTTTACTCTTTGAATAAAATATCTTATCTTATCTTATCCTCTCCCTCAAATAAAACAAAATTGATTTGGAGTTTGGGTCGAAAAATAGGAATTATTGGGAGGATGTGGCATCGGCGCACCGAATGACGAGTGGTCAGAAAATCATAATCTGCTGCTAATTCGATTGGAATGCGAAGGTGGCGCTATGATTTCTTTCCACTTTTACGGCTTGTTATTATAATGAAATATAGGCAAAAAGGCTCATTGTTTAGCTGTCTTGCACCAAATGAAAACACCGGTTAGCCTTTTTTCACGACGAAGCAATGACATCTCGGACAATGGGCCTCAAGCAACACGATTTTACGTCCGATAAAATAACATGTGCCAGGCAAAGGTGAAAATAAGCCGACAGAGTGGCATTGACGTTCTCGTACATGCACCGCAAAACCCCCATCGGTAAAAAACCATTATCCTGACTTGCAGGACATGTATGTTGACAACCCAATGATAAAAACATGGCGCTACGATAGTGCTTAATATGGGAGCATGTTGTCAACGATTTCTTTTTAACTATATCGATACCATGATATGAGAGTAACTTTTTGGTGACATCGTGACATCTTCCCCGTATCAAATTGATAATCTAACTAATATCCGCAATTCGGATTATCCAGCAGTGGCATGGCGTGAATTGCGATGTATCGATTGTTACGCCAATTAAACCGATGGTAAAGAATCGATTATTAAGGTGTTCGCTGCGAACACCCTGTTTATCGATCCTCTTCCATAGTTTTAAATGGAAAAGCAATCGATATATCGCAAAGCACGCCACGCCACTGATTATCTACGGGTTTTGTTTTTCGATGGTTCCTCAGCGGGGCTACTGATTCTAAAAAGATCGCAGCCAAAAAACATTGCAATTTTATGGTACGAACTTCTGGAAAACATCCCCCAGAAATAATGTGTACTCAACGAGCTTTTTTAAAGTGAGCTGAATTAATTATTAACTAATAATTACAATTCTGTCTAATATTTGACACGTCTTCAATAGAGTCTTTTAAAAAACAGCTATTCAAATCACTTTTCTTGGCCAAGTAGGAATCGAATAGGTTCGAATCATCCGCGATTTTCAATTATCCGCGGAGCTCCGCTCCCTGTCACCGCCGACAGTAGGGTGGCTTGCTTTGCGATATATCGATTGATCTGCCATTGAAACCTATGAAAAAGGATCGATTAACAGGGTGTTCGCAACGAACACCTTGACAATCGATTCTTTACCATAGCTTCAAATTGGGAAACATCGATAATCGATCATTCACGCCTCACCACTAACCGCGGATACTCAAGACTCCACTGTATAAATGATAAGCTGTTGGGGGTATCTTGTTGGCAATCTATTGACATTTGAGCGGCCCAAAAAGCTTACTTTTGCGATGCGATAAAAAGGAATCAACCAGAGTTGAATGGATGTTAAGTGGACGTATTTCTGCTGAACGGAACTATGTGCATTATTATGTGAGCCCTGTTGTGCATGCATTCTTATGGGTCTCAGGGCTCATGACTTAATGCACATAGTTCCGTTTGGCAGAAATACGTTCAAGCGAGCAAGGTCGCGCGCCGTTAATTAACAGGCTCGTGCGGAGGGACTTGCGGGGAGGGGGGGGAGGTGATTTACGCGCCAATTGTGACGCGGGCTAGACGCTGAGTGGAGTATTTGAACGTATTGAAACAAGAAAGAACTATCTGCTCTGTAAACCGGACCCTGAGACCCGTAACGCATCATGCATGGCAGAGCCCATGTCACAGTGGAGATATTTCTTTTGATTAATATACGTCCATTTCACACTCGATCAATGCTCAATCAATAATATCGACTTACTTAGTACGTACACTTAACACTCCTCGCCGCACACTTGGCTCGAAAAAGCTCCGCGTATAAGGGTGTTTTTTTGCTGAACCTTGGCTACTTTATCAGCGGGCTGATTATTGAAGTTGATGGACAAAGTGATAGGCAAAGAAGCTGAAGAGAAAATAGAGTGATCCTTTTGGTTGAAACGGGTGGTTGTTATGTGATAAGGAGGAAAATTATGGACCAGCTATAGGATGACTCACATTGTGATGGGGGGTGGGAGGGCTTAAGGGGAGGACATAGACGTCTTAAAAGGAGCCGTTTTTGCAAACCTTGCGTAAAATTTGGGAGTAAAATTTTGGAAATGGGCCGTTTGATGGGATTACTTACAATAGTTTGCCACCGTGAAAAATACAAAATACGAAGGAAAATTAATGGCGAGTTTCGCAAATTTTAAGGTAGGTTCGCACCCGCCATAGAGTTTTCCAAAATCATAGAATTTTTTCTGGCGTATTTTTCTATTTTTCACGCGATGGCAAAACATTGTTATCCTTTGTAAAGATCCATTTCCAATTGGACTGCATTTTGCAATTTGGAACTATAAATTCTGGCTCACCTGAAAAAACATTTATGTGCATAGGGAAACTAATGGCACATACGTTGTTTTTATACCGGGCCAGAATTTGGAGTTCCAAAATTGAAAAATGCAGTCCAATTATAAACTGCTGTATTTCACTCGAAAAGTCGAGGTTAAGAAAAATTCTTCTTTTTATTACTCTATACTTCGGGGGTCTCAATAGTCCTTGCTCACTCACAATGTAAACGATGGGGCTCCCTAAGCTGAGGGGCTAATTTCATGGAAAAAAAGAATTTAAAATATCACGATCAAGTTTTATGAAATTTTCCCGATGAAATTTTAGTTAAACGTTGAAATTCAAGGTTAATTCCCAAAAAATTTATGAAAGCTTTTGAAATTTTATTGAGATTTTAAGGGGAACCTCAGCCTCTAGGGAACGAGCCGATTAAGGAATGATTACGAAAACGACCCTGAATCTTCTGAAGAGAAAAGCGGCGGCTAAACTCCACGGGCTCATTCGGTTAAGATTTGTTTCCTCTGTGTCCACTGTGCGGAGGTGCGAGCGCGCAGCGTGTGTAGGCGGAGCTGGGGGGTCGCGAACATGAACTTTAACATTGGTGATCTGGATCAGGAATGAATTCCTAGGAGCTGGATTCGGAACCGAAGCGCGAACGGGACTCAAAGATGAGGCATTGTTCTTAGCGCTTGCCACTTCTGCGTCTGAGAGCGATTGAACCGACAACGCGCTGTACGCTGTTCTGTCGTGCTAAGGAAAAACGCCGTAAAAATATTCGAGAGTTGCCAAATGGATTACATTTTGCGAGAAGGAACCACTATTTCTGGCCAAATTTATTAGAAACAACATACATGCCATTGGTTTCCCTACGCAGATATGTGCTTTTATAGGAGAGCCAGAGATAGTGGTTCCTTTTTGCAAAATGCAATCCAAATGTCCTTCGATGAAACGTTCTTTTTAAAGGAAATTAATGATTATTTTTCCTTGAAATTTCCAGGAACTTTAGATGAAATTGCGAACAAAATAAGCTGAAAAATTGGAAGAAAAATATCCATAAATTTACCAGGAATTTCGTGTTTTGTGGAAGAGAATTTTGAAAGAGGGGAAAAAGGCGTTTTTGCGTAGCACAGCAGTGTTGCCGAAAGCGCGCCTGTCGTGGAGTCAATACGTAAGTGATCCTAACTCGATTTTTATCATTGTGAGTCATGTCCATGCATCCGAGTTGCGTGTTGCCTGCATTAATAGACTCATAGATAAAACAAAAATTAATTAGTCGTATATGGAATTCTTCATTCGTCATACATCTCCGCTATGTTGAGGGAAAGAGTAAGAAAAAATCTCTACTTTTCTCATGCTGCGTTCAAGTCACCATCCCAATGTCCAGCAGTAGCGTCATTGTGGGCCGATTAAACATTACTCGAGACACTCCGGAGGAGGGGGTCTAAAGCTGGCTTAAGCTTAAGGATGCCTTACGCCATACAATGGGACGAGCTCGAAGAAGAGGCCGAACCTGAAATTTTTGGCTAAAATTTCAAATTTTGATGTTTATTTCTTTACTAATTCAATTTTAAGGGGTGTTTTTGGAAGGAAATTTCACGGAAAAACCCAGTTGGGCCACTCTTTCATTTTTTTGTTCATATTTTCGAAAATATAAGCTTTCAAAGTTTCCAGATTTTGTCCGAGTTCTCATAATGACTCGATCCAGTGTGCGCCGAGGGAGAAGGGAAATGTACAGCCAGTCCAACGGATGGCTCCCAACCCAACTTACTGTTCAATAGTGCAGCTATCCCTGATCAAATTTGATGAAGCAAAAAAATCACAGAAACTTCGATGTTTTTTATATTTTCACATTCTTTCCCCCTTATCATGAGGTAAAGGGGTCAGTTTAGCCTTGCATGATTTGTTAGAGGGCAGGCATGCCATACATCTTAAATTTGACCTCTCTTCAGAGAGAGTTGAATAAGAAGCCTTGGGTCGATCATTTAGGAGGACAACAGGCCCCTTTTCCGACTATTTAGACCAGCCCTACCTCTGCTGTTGGATTGAACCATCGGCGGATCCAGAAAACTGGCGACCTTGCGTATTTCTTCCACTTAAAACTATGGAAATGTATCGATTCTTGGAGAGGTCAGGTGCTCCGACGAGAATCGATTATTAAGCATAGGTTTAAATTGAGAAAATCCGGTGTTGCTAAATTGCTGAATCCGCCTCTGGATTGAACCAACCATGACCATTCTCATGGAAAGTGGTTTGTGAAGGAGACTCAGGACTCTTCTTAAATACTCAACGTCATAATTGAACGACCCCTGAATTGTAACAGTTTCTATGCGGTTTTAAAATATTTGAAATTTTGCCTGCGCCCCCTCGCATAAGCAATCCTCGTGTACCTACTTTCAAAATATCTCGTCGTACGACTTTAAGATTCGGCTGAAACGGTGCCCCATCAAACCCTTGAAACAAGGCCCAATCGACCTCAGAGTAGCCGATCTAGAAACTTATCAGGCACGGCGTCCATTAGCCGTTCCTTCCTCCCATAAATTACGACACATTGAAGTGTCTCCAGAATTGGGCATTGATCACTCAATCGACCCCAGAGACCCCTGGCGTAAAAATTGAGACACGGCCGCTTTTTTCCCCGCCGTGTTTTGATTTATCGCGAGGTCGGCACGCTTTTTGGCCGAGCCAAGTGCAGCTCGGTGTCCTGATCGGCTAAAAGCCGGGGGAATTCGCCCGGGATCCAACCTAATTGCATCTGCGCGTGCGCGTGCGTACTGCGCATGCGTAAACCTCGCCTCGCGTATTGCGCATGCGTAAGCCTCGCTTCGCATACAAAGGCACAAAATCGGCGCGCGCCGCGCCGTTCTCAATGACGCGCTGATTGCTTGCAATGCTGTCACTTTCATGCCTAAACAGGAATGACCGGCATTTTCACAACTGAATTTTTTCCAGATTGAATTCTTACTGACGTAGGTAGGTATTCGTTAATCTACGCTGCTGCACTGCCGAAGTAAGGAAAAACGCCGTATGAACATTCGAGAGTTGCCAAATTTCCTTCACTAAAGTGTTTATTTTTGAGGATATTTATGGACATTTTTCCCTGAAATTTTCAAAAACTTCAGATGAAATTGCGAACAAAATTATATGAAAAATTGAAAGAAAAATATTTAAAAATGTTTCCGATGATTCGTAATTTACTAAAGGAAAGTTGGCAACGCCTGAAGGTCCATACGACGTTCTTCCTTAGCACGGCAGTGCAGTGCTACACCGTTGGTTGGGTTTTCAAGTGATGCGACTATTCGGCCTGTAAAGCCACGTTTGGAAGTATCCTTGTCAATGAAGGCGTTTTCTATGCGTCGATACACAAAGAGTGATTTGAAGCAACCGCATTTCGAATATTTTACGCTGCTGCACTGTTGATAAGGTTTTTAAATAATACAGCTATTTGGCCTCTGAGGCCATGCGGCGTCTCCGAATACGCCTCTTTAATTGTTAGGCCGACGAGAGCGCCAACCTCCAAGACACGAAAGACACGAGACGCTATGTCACCAAAAGCTTACTTGTTTAAAAATTAAGTTCTAAAGAGTGATTTTCTATCCAAAGAGGCACTTACTGCCCCCCAGATCAGAGTCTTTTATCATTTTATCCCCATTATCCCTGCCTTTATCCTTCCCCCTGTTTTCTTTACCTTGTTTCCTCCACCCCCTTTTATCTTTTTTACGTTTTCTCCCATTTCCTGTTATCTCCCTCTCTCTCTGTCTCTCTGTCTCTCTCTGTCTCTGTCTCTCTTTCTTTTTCTCTCTTTCTTCCTTCCTCCCTTTCTTCCTTCCTACCTTTCTTCCTCCCGCCCTCCCTCCCCTCCTTCCTCCCTCCCTTCCTTCCTTCCTTCCTTCCTTCCTTCCTTCCTTCCTTCCTTCTTTCCTTCCTTCCTTTCCTTCCTTCCTTCCTTCCTTTCCTTCCTTCTTCTTGCTTCCTTTAGGTCCGGGGCTGGACTTGATAAAAAAGTAAATCGCTTTTTAAATCAATCTCTAACTGAAGAATAAAGTTTGAATTTCTATGACATCGCAAACTGTGGTGCGCGGTTTCCGACTTTAACCATTGCTATGATGTAGCTATTTTCAGCGAATATCGGCCGGAACACATTTCTAAAATTATAGCTTCGTTCTCTCTTTCTATTTTTTTCTCGTAGGTAAGAATTGATTTTTCTAGTATTACAGAGTTTGATCATTGTATTGGCATTCTAGGTAACGGTCTAGTGATCGAAAATGTAAAACGAAAAATCTGAGGCTCCAGAAGGACCGGATGAAAGAAGGTGCGGAGAGAAAAAAGTTGTCACACAATCTTGAGGTAACTGTCAGGTCACGCGCTGGAGAGCCAGAGAATTTGGCGTTGAAATTTAACGCGAAATGCAGCATACATTTTACCTCACAGCCGAGTGACTCTGGGGCGAGGTGAGGATCATGTCACGTGCAGACCAGTTCTAGTCACGACGCAATATAGATATCACACCATGCTCTGTGCAGAGTACTCTTTGTTTCCTCAGCAATCTTGTCGTCCAAATTGCGAAAATAGCAAAAGGAATAAACCACCACATAAACAACCCGAAGCACAGATTCGCAATGTACAGCGAGCGATTTACACGGTGAAAAATAATTGCTACCACATCCGAATGCTGTGTATGTTGCCTATCTACGAATTGAAGGGGTTTAGCGCTTCTTGAAATGTATCGCAATCGAACTGAAAAAAAGTGGAAATGCTTTTGCATTGCAAGTCGACTACCCTTCTGAAACATGGAACTCATTTCATTGATGGTTTCAAAACAACATTTATCGAGCAATTTGATCGAGTTTATTAGAAAAACATCAGGTACAATAACACGATATAAAAACACTTATTTGAGTAGAGGAAACATTGGTGCACATTTATCGTTACAGAAATGAACCGAAACAGTTGGTTTGTTTTATTGCTATACTCGATCCAAATTATGTAAAAAGATTGCACTTTCTTGCCGATTTAAATAAAGAAAAAAAGAAAAAAGAAAAGAAGAAAAAAGAAAACATATGAAAATTATCTTGCATTGAGGTGCAACTTTAATGTGATATTTTCATTGCACTGTAATTTATGAATAAGGGCTTCGGCACTAATTTTGTGTCGGCTCATACTTAATTACCTAATCGTGTGGAAACCAAATTATCGTATCCTGGCTGGCAACGTTGTAGAGTTTCTGTCACACGTGGCTCATCATTCTTATTGCATAGATTGGCGATTTTCCTTTGATATTTCCTACTCAAAGAAAACTCTTTAAACCTTGTTACTTACTGGTAGGTTGGACTGGAGAATTTTCAATTTGGCAACACTGTTTTTTTCCATTAAAACGTCGATTTTAGGTGCAAGATAGGCTGCCTCACCAAGAATCGATATTTTTACATACATTTAAATGGAGGAAAACAGTGATGCCAATTTTCAAGAGTTGCCATTGGATAGAGGTACGTGTTTTTGTAGCTCCACATGATGGGAAAAATTACCAAGGATTATAGTGTACTATCGATGATGGAGTTATTGGACATTTAGCATGCAGTAAGAAGTAATTTTGAGTAGCAGCTATACTTTTTTCGTTGTATGTGCTGGAAAATTTCTTTTCTCCCACCCTAATGCGTTGGGAAACACACAGGGAAGCTTGGAGACTTAAACGCTGCGTTGAAAAATAAACCATTTTATGAGGGATAACTCTCTTCTTGTCCAGTCCAGTTTGGGTTGACTATCATAGTCATAGTCTTTTCTCCCACCTTAATGCGTCGGGAAACACAGAGGGAAGCTTGGAGACTTAAACGCTGCGTTGAAAAATAAACCATTTCATGACGGGATAACTCTCTTCTTGTCCAGTCCAGTTTGGGTTGACTATCATAGTCATAGTCTTTTCTCCCACCTTAATGCATCGGGAAACACAGAGGGAAGCTTGGAGACTTAAACGCTGCGTTGAAAAATAAACCATTTCATGACGGGATAACTCTCTTATTGTCCAGTCCAGTTTGGGTTAGATATCATAGTCATAGTAAAAACATTTTCTTTTCCAATACCCCAGTGAATTAGGAAGCACGACATAAGAAAGCTTGGAGACTTAAACGCTGCGTAAGAAAGCAAACCATTTCATGATATGGCAACTCCCTACTCGTACAGTTTAGTTCGGCATAATAGCGATGATGGTGAAAAAAATTTCCCCTAGCACTCATCATTTCGCCTCAATGTAGCATACCAGACCTAATATTGGCACAAACCGTCCTGTCATGTTTCAACGTTAATCAATCATCATCTCAACCAGTGTTCGAAACTCACCTTTGAGTTTCAGGAGCCAGGTAGCGCATCAAGCTCAATTTTTAGGGGCCATTCAAGATTTTTTAAGGGCCAAATTGACTTTTTGCCTATATATCGAGGCGCATTTAGTGAAAGTTATCCGCCAGATACCTTAGTTACAGAACAAGTAGCTGTGGCTTGGGTAAATGTCGAAAATCACCAAACAGAAAAAGTGGGATTTTTTTCTGAGGGGGCAGAGGGAAGGCAATTTTTAGAGGTCACGTTGGCGCACACTGGAAAAAAACACATTGGATCTAAAGTCCAGACTCTTAAAAACATCGACAAGAAAAAGTACTCTTGATTCAATTAGAATCTAGCTTAAATCAAGAATAATTTAAGCGGATTTCGATTTGATTCAAGCAAAAATCCGATTGAATCAATAGTATTTTTTCTTGTCAATGTTTTCAAGAGTCTGGATTCTAGATCCGATGTGTTTTTTTTTCTAGTGCAGAGACTTCATTTTTTAGGCGTCATGATCGATTTCTTAGGCGCATTTGGCGCCGGTGAGTTTCGAACACTGATCTCAACATTAGACTCGGCCTCGGTTCAGGATGGCCTCGTCCAAGTAGCCGAGTGCAACAAATATATTAAAATCAAATTGAAAAGTGCATAAAATATCAATTTTTTTACTACGAAGTTACAATATTTTTACATCGTTTGATCCATTAATGTTGACTTTTCATACGAGCTCAATACATAGAACACCAATGTTGTACCTAGTAATAATTTTAAAATATTATCTCAATTTATTGCAGCCTGTACTACTTGAAGAAACCTTGTGAAATCAATTTTTGGCCCCTAACTACTTGTAATTCGTTGTTCATCACGATATTTTCCCCTGTATACAATCGATTCTACAGTTCGAACTGTACGTAGGATTTTACGAGAAAAATCGACAGGAGTTACAACTGGATTGCATTTTGCAAAAAGGAACCACTAGCATTGCAATGTTGCTAAGATTGTGCAACTTCTTTTGTCTTGGAGGAAAACCCCGATTATTCATTAATAATTTCTATTTTACTCGCTAAAAACTATAAATTTAAGACAAAAATTACCATCTAAATTTCATAAATTTTCACGATTTCCGCAATTTTATTTCAAAAGATGAAGTTGCACAATCTTAGCATCATTGCAATGCTAGTGGTTCCTTTTTGCAAAATGCAATCCAACTAAAATTTCGGGGTCATAATCGAAAGTTCTTTGACTGAGCTGAAACCAATGTTACCTAGGTAAAATGACCCAAAGAGTCTGATTTTCGGGTTTTGAAAGCTTCTCGAGTCCACCGGGCCGCATGTTTATCGCACGTTTATCGAAAACGGTCAAAAACACCCAATTCTCGGCTTAAAAAGCCCCGAAAGGCCCCGGGACCGTGCGCTGTCGATTCTATGCCTCAAACTACGTGGGGTGCGACGATAATCTCGAAACTTTTTCCCCCCGTCCAAAATCGAGAAAAATTGACATGGGTTTTATAAACTAAAATTTAAGGGTCAAAATCGAAAGATCTCCGATCGGGCTGAAATAAAGCCAAACCCCTGTAAAATGACCCGCACAGTTGATTTGCTCGTCTAAAATGATCCACGAATCCATTGGTTGGTTCTCACGATCGTTGAATAAGACGTGCAAGAGATAATCCTCAAAACGATCAGACCGTGCACAATTGATTCTAAGTACACCTCGAACTCCGTAGGAGTAGGTAGTAAATTACCTCGGAACATTTTCTCCCGTCCAAAATCGAGGAAAATCTACAGCAGGGTCGCTACTAAAACTGGCTGGCAAAAATAAAGCACTCTTACAGAACTTGTTCAGTATACCCTCCCAAGAGATTCAGTACCTCATAGGCAGAAAAAAATCATTACTTTTTCGGTACAATTAAGTTGATTGTTGATTTCAGTTCATTTTATTTAGTTACTAGTGTGGCCGCTACGCGGCCGCCAACCACTGAGAAAAACTACACGTACAAAATAGTAGAACAAGAACGTTCAAGTTACTTAAGAGATGAATTGATTCAGAAGCCGACGCGACGGGTGCACGCGAAAGGAAGCGTATTTATCTTCGATTGCAACGTTATGGACCACTTTTTATGTTTCATTTCTGAAAACCGTTCTTGAAAAGATACTTGCAGTTTTTTTGAAGAGTTCCCACAAATTTTCCTAAATGATCTCAAATGTAGGCATCGAAAACTTTGACTCGATATTTTCGTTCATTCTATTTTCTTTGTATGTGACAAAAAAAAAATTAAATATCATCCAAGTTTCTGAATCGTTACAGTGAGGACACATATTTCCCCTTTAATTATGGTAAAGACCGGGCAGGGACCGTCAAAAGAAATGACGCGTGGTCCTAGTTTTGCGGCGATTTAGCGTCTCGCTGCGGCGCGGCGATTCGCAAATGAATGACTTTCGCATTGCGTTTGGTGCAATGCGAGAAGTATTCACGCAGGCTTGTAGGCGCTAATATGCGTTCGACACCGACCGCACCGTATTTGACGCGATTATTCGAACTCGCGTTAGGATAATCGCAGCATCAAATAATGGGGCTTAAAAGGCCCATGTTGTGTTTCGACGCCTCATGAGAATTCCAATGATGCCTCGTTTCTCCCCATAAAATATTTTTTCTGAGAAACTTTAGAATAGCTCTCTATTTAAGTTAGGTTAAAATTAGTTTTGTTTCTCAAAATAGATGGCGCACTCTGACTTTTGATAAATTATCACTCAAAAAGTTTTAATTCTCATTGGGATATAAAATGACTTGGTTCAACAAATTTTCTGTCGTAATGGGCCTAACCGTAAAGAGTCCTCAGTTTTCGTTACGCTGTGTCCATAATTAGGGCAAAATTGGCTAGATGAAGGCAGTAATATGACAAACTGAAGGGAACTGCATTGCAAACAGTATTTGCAAATTTTGTGCCAGAAATTTGGCCCTCATTATAAATTCATTCATTTTTCCTTCATTCCTCATTTATTTTTTAATGGTTCACCGAAGTTTCCTACATTTTTTGTCTCTATTTCAGGCAAGGTGATAACAAATAAATAATGCTTGTTCCGTGATATTTCTTATTTGCCGTCAATGTTTGTCAAGTAATTTTTATTACTTTATTGGTGGCCTCAGTGTCTGGATGTACAAAAGGCAGGGTACCTTCCTAGTTATAATAGTGGTTCAGTTTTTTTCTGGACCTTTCAAAATTAAAACTAATGTACCTTGGAATATCTTTGTTTATTCTTTTGAAAGATTAATTCTTCTTGAATCAAGAGTATCTACATCCTTCATGATGCTGATGTATTGGCAAAATATTTGGATCAAATACAGTTGACACATATAAACTGAGCGCAAAGTGTTTTGTTGTTTTTTATGTATATTTATTTATTTTTTTCTTTATCTGGAAATATTCATTTCTTACTTTTTCATTTTACATTCATCACAATGAAATTTATGAGAGACATTGATTCACTTTATAACAATGATTGGCAACAACAATGTTGCAAAAATTTGAAAAATTCACAAATTTTTAAGAGAAATTTGGCATTGCCTCTCATCTACTTGGAATTAGGAAGAGCCAGATTTAAAATTTGATTACTTTTCTTTGCTAGAACTAAAATGAGTGCAAATTTTAATTCGTCCATGTTTTAACATGATGCGGCAGAAAATCAGTGGTATGATATGTGTCCATAAGACAACGAACTCACCAAGTGAAAAACTCTTTCATTTAGACGTAAGTGATCTATTAACAAAGTAAGTATTGAAAACAACAAATGATCAATTACAAAGCTTCGATGCAAATGCGTTTTTCACAGCTTACTCCTTGGAGAGATCTCTCTTCTTCCATGATGTATGTACATTTTTAGGAGAAGGAATGCTAAAACCTACTGCTGCAAAGAAAAATATTGATCAAAACAGAACTGCTTTATATTTTTCTTATTATCTTCTTCATTACCGAAATTTGTCACTGGGCATCGTTGTTGTGATGAATAAGTAATAAACACACACCATTGCCAAGCTTGCCTGTTTTATAACATTTAATTAATTTAAAAAAAAACTGCACAAAGCATTTGGACGTGTTAACTTTAAGTTTGAGCAAGTGCCAAATTTCTCTATGAACTGAGCTTAATTTTTTGGATAGGTTTGACTAGAGGGACGATTTTTAGATTCTTTATGAAATTAGACGTTCGAGCAAATTAAGAAAATGATAGTGGGCTTTTACCTTATAAAAAGCCTTATAATGATATTTGAGCTTCATGCATTAAGAATTCTTTTAGCTTCAGTAAAAAGTCACCTTCATTGCTTACTCGATTACAGGGAAAATGGCAATTCAATTTTACTGGTAAAAAGGCTGTTTAAAAGCTAGTTTTTCCAGATTTTTGTTTCTTAGACGCTCCTTGATTAGAGTAACTGAATTAGAGGCATTGCACAAACAATTAACAACAAAAAATCTTGAAAATTAACAAACGCTTCGATCACAAAGGGACTGATTCTACATATCCTCATAGAAAAATTATAGCATTATGATTAGGTATACACAAATTTTAGAGAGAGGGGAATTTTAGAGGGAGAAATCGGTCACTTTTTCAATGAATGCTCATCCAACATTCAAAATGAGGGAAGAATTTCCTCAATTTATTTTAACATTTACATTAAGATCTCAGGTTTCCTCATCTGCAATACAATTTTCTGAAGTCTTTTTTCAATGATTGTAAAAACTTTTAAGATCGAGTAAAATTGGGTAGGAGGAAGAAATTCAAGTCAATTTCATGAAATTTATTCCTCGTATTCTAAGGTGAATTGTCTTTTGAAAATCGTTTGAACTGAAAATGTGGAAGTTTTTTTTGAGCAGTCAGTCTAAATTAGAAGATCTCAAATTATATTGTGGCACCAGCGTAAAATTGACCAAATTAAACCACTCTTTGAAATACATATGGTTGGTACTTTGATTTTTCCTGATCATACAGGAGAAACGATTACCCAAATCATTTTCCTTCACGCACTAAAATTGTAAAGTGTTGAAATAACAGAGTGATAAGCAATATCACTGTCAGTCACTCGAGATTCCAACTGAAATTTTTTCTTCCTTCAAAACAACAGAGACAGAAAAAGTTCCAGGCTATGATCAATCTATTATGCCACCAAAATTATGAGGCAGTTACAAATAAATAAATAAAAATTAATTTTGTGATTTAGATTTGAAAGAAAAACTGAAGATACCATTAAAGTGACAAAAAACTGTACCCCTAATATTGCACAGAGAAGGAGGAAAAATTGATTCCTTCATCCAGTTATCAGCCTTTTGAGACCTCCAAAGGTCCTCAAGGGTCGTTAAATCATGCAACACACTTGCTGTAACTTTTTTTACCCTTCATATAAATCATGCAGTAACCCAGAGTTGAAAACAAGCTCAAAAAACTTTCCCACACTGAAATAGTCTTTTAAACTGACATAGTTCTGTAGTACAGGTTTAGCCGCTTCCGTTCCCTGGAACTAATCTCTCACGCTCTCCTTTCCCACCAGAAAGTTACGCAATTTATAAACAGCCACTAAATTTCAACCTTAACATCAACATTTAAACTTTTCAAGCTTTCAGTATCTATGAGCCTTGGAGCACTAAAAATTCTGATTTAGGAGCAGGAGTTCCATTATTATGGAACTTAACTATCTTGGTAATTCAATGCTTGACATGTTTCCATGATTAAGAATCAGTCCCGGATAACTACACATTATGCAGGTAAGAAAGGACTTGATTGCGTCAATATTCCTGTACAAACTTAAGACTAAAATTATGTACAAAAGAATTACAAGAGAAATTTACATGGTTTGACTACACTTCATTTTGTCACAAGGCAAGACCTGGTAGTACTGTGCGAAAAACTCCATTGTTTAAACAAAAACGTTGACTTCAATCCTCCGAAACTTTATTTGGCAGCACTCTAGATGAAAGGCATTCATCAACAGAACACCAAATGTATCCTTTATGCAAATAGAAATTGGTGGTGAAAATGTCTTCTCTAATAGTGGCCAAAACAGTTCGTCCTCCGTGAATAACATTGCCAATTATCCTGATTCTAATGAGCAATGAGCAGGTAACTAAAGAGTCTCAAAATTGGTCAGAATTGTGTTTTTTTGGTAGCAGATTGGCAAAAAATGAAATCCATCCAACAGCGAAAATTGTAACTACTCTTGGATATATTTCAGAAAAATTGATCTTTCTATGAAAAGAATTTTTTTTTTTTTTTTAAAAAAAAAAACTTTTAGTTCATTATACCTACATGGCGTTTTTAAATACAGATTTTTTAAAAACAACTTTTGTAGATATATAGATCTGTTTAGAATGAAGTTCAATGGGCCACTAGATAAAACGCGAATAAAAGATTCCGGCAGCCTCATCAAAGTGTGTTGGTATTTTGAAACAAGAAGCAACCAATAGCTTACCAACAAGGATTTGTTTGAACACTCGTGCCAATAATGAAAAACCATTAATGTTACTGAGCTCATCTGCGGAGAATTTTCATGTAGATTTTAGTTCTAATCAGTCTTTTTGAGACAAAGTTTGATCTAAATTCATACAAAATGGTTCAAAGAATTGGAGCTTTCGACACATTGAGAAGTTACCAGTCATAATAGGGAAAGGCAAAATGAAGGACATTAAATTACAATGACACAAGTTTTTTGATTCGTTGAATCAGTGGAAGTGGAACTTGAACTGGAACGGACTGCCGTGGAACTGGTGGAATTGTTGGAACGGGTTGAAACCTTGCTGCTGACCTTGACCTTCAGGATCCAGCGGATCTTCACCCTGATCGAATTTCTGTCTTTTTTCTGTAAAAAAAAAAAAAAAAAAAAAAATTATTCACATGAAATTATTGTGAGATTGCAAAAATGAAACAAGAAACAAAGAAAAAGAAATCTTTGATCTTCTGTAATTGAAAAAACTTTCAAGTTATCTTCACAGTTGCATGAGGAAAGTTAAAATTTCCCTCCTTGTGTAATACCTATTCTGCTTATTGCTGTCAGATTGAATGGATCATTATAAAAATGACCGACCCCCTTTTTTAAAACACCTTCATTGAATGTCCCTTTGTAACACTAGATGTTTAAAATTTGTATTTTCCTCCAAAATAAAAAATTGAAAAACGGAAAATATAATGATCTGTGTTTAAAGAGAATTAAGAAGATCTTTTTAGAATGAAAAGTTAGCATGTATTTGAATTGAACAATAAAATTCATTTTTGAGGAATTTTTGAAGGATGTGCCTATTTTTTATTTTTCCTGTTACAATGCAGTAAAAAATTAGAAAAACTTGAAAAATGGCACTGGGTTGAATTTCATCCAAAAGACAAATCTTTCGGATGAAATTTCGAAAGTGATAAAGAGGTTGATCTCATGAATTTTGTCCAAGCAGAAGATCTGCAAGCCTCTGGGTTACTTCAGCAAAATACATGAAGCAAAAGTAGGTGAGAGACTCTTCGGGTTTAAAAATTAAAGGAGGAGACATACCTGGGTCAGTGAGAACTTCTTTTGCAGCAGCAATGTCGATGAATTTCTTTTCGGCCATCTTCTTTTCTTCACCCTGGAAGTTGTCAGGATGCCATTTTTGTGCAGCTTTCCTACAAATTTGAAATTATTCATACTTTAAAACTAGGTCGTTGTGACAATCCAAAAAAGCCGATACTTTTAAAAAATTTGACTGGGTTACAAATTATTTCGTGCTTATCAAACAGGACACAGAGAGAGAGAGTGTGTTCAAGTGGTAACTTTTTGACTCCTTTACAGTTGCTTCAAGAGGAATTTCTTGGCTTACAGCCTAGAATGGAGTGAATATTAAAAAGTCCTTGGGTCAACATTCAACATCACATAGATGAAGGAGAGACACATCACTGCTGAGAAATAAACTTTGCATTTTGAGACAAAGAAGTATTACCAGGGCGGTTCCCCATCTAGCGGCAAATTAGCCGAATCCCCAAGAGTTGCTTGCGATGATAGAGCCTATCATAATTTGAAAATTTGAACAAAGCAGGGTAATCTACTAATCTAGGGACTGTTGCCTGCCAATTGCCAAAAAGGCAAAAGTTGGGCCAGTATATCTCTGAATAAAATAGTGAAAAGAGGCTTTGGGAAGTCATAGAGGAGGAACTTTTGGACTTGCAACATTTTCCAGTGCATAAAGGGATCTACAATTTCAATTTTCTCATTGAAACTAAGAAAACATTGATCATGAAGATGACTTTGCTGTTGAATATTGAAGTCTGCAAATTAATTCAACACAAACTCAGAGGATACTACCAACAATACTGATTACTAAAAACAAGTAAAAATATTTCCTGTGGATCATCTTACCTGTATGCTTTTGTTATTTCCTGCTTATTGGCGTTTCTTGAAACACCTAGAATTTTATAATAGTCTCGTTTCTCGGATTGTTTCTGGAGCTTCTGAGCTCTTTTGATGCCTTCTTCAGCTCTTTGGTATCCACTTTCTATTTCAAGGGCCTCTTTGTAGTCATGTATAGCTGAAATATAAAATAAAATCAACTTTCAGAAAAAGACATTATGTAGTAGAGTTCAGTGAAAAACAACATTTAAAAAGAAACAGGCGTGCGCCATAACAAGAAGCAAAGTGACCATCAATGAGAAAAAAGGGAAAATTTAAGCGGACAGTGATAAAAGCTTTCTATCAACATTTTTTAAACCAAAATTTTGTAATTTTCGACATGAACATATTTTTCTTGAGGACATTGACAAACAATGATTAATGATTTGAATAAAAAATTTTCCAGTTAAATTTATAATCTCATTGTTAAACAAAATAGTAAAGTAATAGTAGCAAATAGTAGTAATAGCTATTAAAAACTGAGGAAATCTTCCAAAAAAAAATATTCTCCAATTATTATGCAACACTGTGCTCACGTACATTTACATAGCTATGATAATGCATTCCGTCGAATTTGTTTCAATGGAAATTTGACTTAAAGGGCGGATGCTGAACTTGAATTTCTGCTTAAAACGAACTCAACCTTGATACTGTCGCAATTGACAGGGTTGATTGTACAAGAGTGAATGATGAAATTCACTATTAGGAGAAATTAAGTGGGGTCAAGGAATTAGATATGACCGTATCTTTGCCAACTCAAAATTTTGTTAATGAGACTTGGGAGAATTCTTGAGAGGAACAAAACAATTTATGGTAAGAATCGTACCTTCTGCAAACATATCAGCTGCGATATGTGCTTCTGCTAGATCACAGTATAGAGAGGCTGTCTTCTCAATTTCTAGCGCTTCATTGCATGCTGTCAAACTTTGACTTACTTGGCCGCTCTTAAGGTAACATTGACACAGCTTTTCGTTTGCTAAAAATATAATTTGTTGTTCTTTCGTCTCGGTTTTTAAAACCTGAGAACAAAAAATAATGAGATTCAATAAATAAAAAAATCAGACAAACGTTGGGAAAAAGAAAAATAGTTTCAAGTCATTGGGCGTTGGACTGCTGGATACATTCTATAGTCTAGGTCGCAAAAAGTGGTGGCTGGAGGGCTGAGTCAGGTGAGCATCTTGGTCTATTATTTTAAGGGCTACTTGGCTTCAACCATGGGTTGTATGAATATGTCAAAGTACATACTGAAAATTAATCCTTTCAACAATACCATAAGGCATACCCTACTGATTGTACCTCTCGGCCACCCCTTCTTGTGGCATATACTACGGAGAGCATTTTTCACTTTTTCAATTATTGAAGTTGTTTTTTGGAAAATAATTAAGTACGCGGATACATTTGTAAAAAACTTGTCTAAGTAGGAGGATCAAGAGCAGATACATTTTTCAAAATATGCCAAATTTAACAATGAGGAACCAAAAAGCATCAAAGTAGAACTGGGAAACAGGGGTTTGAATTTTTATTCCTCCATGACACTTAATTCCATAAGTAATAGACTAACTAACGGCAACTCACTAAAGACCCTATATTTAGTCTATTACTTTCCCCATTAATCTACAAGAATCACCTGCTTCCACCAATAAGTTCTCTCTATTTTCCCTCTATTGTCTTTGTCCATAGCTTTGTCTATCAATTTCAATAATCAGCCTGCAGTGACACATGCCATCGACCTTTTGAGTTTCTTTAAAAAGAGAACTTGATACAAAGACAAAAGATATAAAGTTAACATCAAATATTAGTGTTTGAATTTTGATTCATAAGCTTACCTTCTTTGCGTTAGAGATGCAAGATTCATAATCTTGCTCGTCAAGATTCTGCTGGGCTTCAGCCAATAATTTGTCTACTTTTTTAACAACTTTGTAGTGAGGGAAACACAGCTTGTGTTCCGGATCAAGTTTAAGGCATTCTCGAATTTCTCTGGAAACCAGAACAGAACAAGACGCTTAGCACTCGGATGATCAGAATCATTGTATGTAATTATTCATGATTCTTAGTGATTTGGAGTGTGTGATTCAAGGAAAATGTGTCAAATATTTCAAGCATTAATGTTACAGGGTGGTTGCCACAGAATGAAGGAAATGAAATTCCCTGACATTTTCCTGATTTCCCTATCACACTTTAGTGAAATTCCCTGACAATTGAAGACATGTCAGATGGTTAAAAAGACATAATTTCAAATAGTTTTCACGCAAAATCTATTCTTTGAAACGTTAAACCTAGTCTAGTAAGCAAATATAGGTGACTTGACAAGTTTTTCTAGACATTTTACTCATTTTCCTTGACAATTCCAGGTTTTCCCTTGCTTTTTCAAGCTCCCCTAACATTTCCTGGTATTCCCTGACTGTGGCAACCCTGATGTTAGCATGGTTTTGACACAAGAGCATGGATCCAAATCCATTCAAGACATTGACCGTATCGTGAATTTGGGCGTTCATACCTCATGGATCTTGTCTGCCTTGTCTTATGTTTTTTAAGATACGGTCACTTTTCGAGGTGATCACTTTTGAAAATTGTCTCATCTTTAACCTGCATATTCTATTTTGTGAGAGTAGTGGGATATTCAGTCTATCATGGAAAGGTCTACAGTGAACAATTACAGGTTAAAGGATCAGGTTTATTTTAAAGAGGGGCTTCTGAGACAAAAATTACTGATTATTGCAAGAGAAAACTCTTCCTTTGGCAGTAAAATGTCAATTCATAGGTAGAAGCTGGGGTGTAGAGACCCCCTTAAATTTGTCTCTGCAGCCACTTAGAGGCATGGAAAAGGGGAAAGCATCATTTTTTTTTGCTTCATTTAAAACTTCATTTTAGCAATTCTATTACTCAAACTATGTGAAAGGAAAGATCATTGTAAACTGAATGTAAATTCACAAACATTTTTTTGGTTATTTGCTGAGACAACAAAAATTGGAAATAAAATTTCAAAACTTACCGTAACGCATCCTGAACCTTTCCGATTTCATAAAACAGCTTGGATAATTTATAATATCCATCCGTGTTGTCTGGGATGAGTTTTGTGGCACTGCGCAGATCATTTATGGCATATGTTAGGTCATTGATGGCAAGGTATGAGGAGGCCCGAAGATCTCTCAACCGAGGCGCCCACGGACAAAGCTAAAAAAAACCGTACTTATTAATGTAAAGAATCATACTTCTTAGCATATACTATTCATGCAAATCAGGTGCTGAATATCTCATGCCAACAGGAGGAAATTTCAATACAGGAAAAATCAAAAAGTAGGTCCAGAAGGATCAAATAATTATCAATATCCAGTTAGATCCTGCATCTTGTGACCTACTAAATCGGTCGGTTGTGCTGGTCATAGAGATGGACGTTTTGATGGTTTCAGTCAATAGATTGGTGGAAGAAATTAGGCCTGCTCTCTGTGGCCCCTCTAGCTCTTTACCACATGCTGGATCGGGCAAAGATCGCAAAGATCGGGAAAATCGGCTATTTTAAACGGAGCCCGTGCGGCGTTGATCAGAAGGAAAATGTCCCCTCCCACTCACTTCTGCGAATCACACTCCTCGGCTGATTTTGCATTGTTGCCACATGTCTCCTGGTCTGTCGCCGTGCGCAGTTTAAAATAGCCGATTTTCCCGACCGTCGCTCCTTTCTGCTCTTAAAACTCGCAACCAAAACATTTCCCCAGCATGCGGTAAAGAGCTAAAGGGGCTACAGACAGAGTCAGGAACAACATATCAGTTTTTCATCAAAATAGAAAAATGGTTTCTTTTTAAATCGGCCGAACATGAAAAAATAAGGGGTCTTTTTTGAGCGTTCCGGCACTTCGGAGGCGATAACTCGAGCTGAAGTTGACAAAACCCTATGATGTTGTACATTTTCTGAAAGCTCTTGTCACACTGAAAACGCTTGTTTAAACCGCGTTTTTCAGCTATTTAGCTCAAAACTTCTTGGTTTTTGAGTAATAAATGCGCGAAAATTTTGCCAGTTTTTAACTTTGACCCCCCACCGCGTCTCCCCAAAATTTTTAGGGGGCTTGAAACTTTGGGAAAAGATGGAGCATGGTTTGGTGAATGAATATGGCAAGTCTCAAAGGTATCCTCCCCGAGCCCTAAATGGCCCATTTTGTACGAACCCCTATGTCGCTTCTCCATGAAGACTTCTTGTTTTTTTTAAAATTAAGGGGCTCACTTTCACAACCGCTTAACTATCTCTAAATAGCTGGAATTGGATGTTTGTAGTGTTGGGACTGCACAGTATGTGAAAACTAAAAAAATAGAAGGAAAACTAACCTCGATTGCAGATGTGAGGTACTGGATTGATGTTTGGTAGTCTTTCTTGTTGAAACTGTGCTCAGCGAATTCGATGATGTCAACTAACCTATTGACTTTATCCAATTGTTCTTTGGCATCGGCAGATTGCTCACTGCTAGTCTGCCACTAAAAAATGAGCGAAACATTCAAGATAAGTAAAAATCACATGCATAGAACAAGCTGAAAAACAACCGTACCAAAATAAACAACTCTAAACACAATGCATACAAGGATCAGGCAAAGTAAAACTATTGAAGCCTCTAGTTACTTAATATTTTTTAAATTATGATCTTGAAATATTTGCCGTTATGGCTTGGTTTTATGTGCAATAATGAAAATTATTCAGTATAACATAAGATGTGAATTTTTGACACAAATCAAATTCAGTATAATGTGCAGCCTGATGATGAGGTAACCTGAAAAGTGGGTAGCAAACTAAAAGCTACTGTTGCACAAAACAAACAGAAGAAAAAATGAGAAAATAAGACGGTAACAAGATATTCTTCACGACTTTTAAAGGGTGAAGGCCCATCTCACAATCAGCTCAACCAAAAATAAAAAACTCTTCTCCAGCGCAGGATTCCACTCTCCAACAATTTCCAATTTAAACACATGTATCCTTTTGTCACCTACTCAGGATTGATGAAAAGTTCTTGCAGGTGTAAAAAAAAAAAAAAAAAAAAAAAAAAAAAAAAAAAAAATTATCTGCTGCTGACTTCTCTCACATGAAAAAAGAAAATAGCTAGTTTTGGAGTTTCCTTTCTATAATTGTAGGATTTTATTGAGACCGCCTTCTCACGATGATTGGCTGGGTCTTGTTAAAAGAGCGTTCCTATTTCTATAAACAAGAACTTTACCTAATTTCTCAGGGAACTTTGATATAGAAACACACCACACACAATACGAACTTATAGTTCGAGGAGCAGCCAGGAACATTCTGTGAATTTCTGTTAATGCTTCCACACTAAACTTTTCCATCATGCAACTGGAATTCCTACTAATTTAGGAACTTTATAAAGTTAATCATACTTACAATGTCATTGAAGTCCTTTAGGGCTTGAGTCAAATCAGCTTGTTTCATAGATACGACACCTCTTTGGTACTTAGCCTAAAAAAAAAGAGAAAACATTTCTGACCTTTCGGAAATAAAATCAACGATGAACTTTCATACTTTTGTAGGCTGCCTTTGAATATTTGACAGGATTCCAATTTTTTTAATCTCAGTGAACAAAATACTGTCTACAAATTTTTACTTACATGGAATGATATATCACTTACAACTACAGAGCAAAAATGTTAAAGGCTATCCATAAATAATCCAGTGCAGCAGGTGTGAAATTATAAAGGGAAGGTTTAACACAGTGAGATGTCACCCAAAAATTGATGCAAATTACTGATTTTTGTAACTTGTGGTTAGTCCGGGTAAAAACTTTGACATGCATGCTGCTTTTTCAGTGTCTCACAACACAAAGCATGATGTTTCCTAATTCAGCAGGGCTTAAAAGTAGGAGGTAGGGGTGTCCAAATAGCAGAGTGATGTTTTGTATGAACAACCAACATTTTTTGCGAGCCAAAAAGAAAAGATAATGGGTCCTGTTTCGTAAAATTAACTATTTGCATGAGCAATTATTCAACTGACAGAAACTTTGGAAGCGAGTGAGTTATAATTACAGCTCAATTATAATATATGATCTAAATCTATAATACCTGAATATCCTTTCCTTATACATAAATAGTTGAAATACTGACTAACTTTACAGGAGTTTCCAAAGCTTTTATGACTTTCTCTTGGCTCAACAAGTCACCAAGTCATACAGCTCAATTTTTTTTCTTTCTTTTTTATAATCCAAAATTCAGTAATTTTCTTTACTTTCAGTTAAGTACTATTTGTAAAGTCATATAATTTAGCACTTACCGCATCAAAATCAGGCTTCAATTCTAGGGCTTTGTCAAAATCAGAAAATGCTAAACTTGCTTTGCCCAAAGCGAAGTAAACAGTGCCTCTTTTGAAGTAAGTGAGGTAGTTTTCAGGATCTCCCTCTGCCAAAAAACAAGGAATATTAAATATAAAAAAAAGAATTAAAATAATACAACAAATAAAAAATACCATTTTATACTTACACACACAAAAAAAATAAAGGGTGGGTTTAATATGAGGTAATTATCTAACTTTTTGTTATTTTACTCTTACACATATTCACTTGATAAGCTCTTGCTGAAAATGAGACAAATTATTAGTGGAAAATTGTGCTGGAAAACTTTTTTAATTTTTAATGAAGCAAATGAGAGTTGCACATCAGGTAAGTAATGACAAAATGTGTACTTATTACTCCTGTTTTAAATTGAGCAATCTAATGTTATTGAAAAACCTCCATACAAAAGGATAAGGGAAATTTAAATGTTGAATTTGAATTCTTCTTCGGCAATGTAGGCTGTAAACTGATTTTTCACACCCCAGTTAAGAAAAATAAAAGTCGATAGTGAAACTGCAGAAGTGCGTACCTTAATTTGCGACGTTGCATACTTTCTGCTGTGCTTTATTTCTTATATCGAAAACTAATAAACATATTTTTTTTTAAAAACTGCAGTGATTTTTTCTCTCTTCGTGAGGAATATTCTGTGAAAATTTCATGTCATAATGATGTTTTGATCTCCTTTGAAAAAATTAAAAAGGAGCAATAATTTTGAAACACTGCAGCTGAGAAATGCATTTTTGCAGTTTCACCATCAATGACTAGCCCCTATACAGCAATAATAGAATTTTCTTTGATAAATTTGCAACAATATGCTAGACTTACCCACAGCAGCATGGTAATGTGATAGAGCATCTTGAAGTTGTCCTTTGGACAAAAATTCACCACCCAATTCAAGATGTTTCTTCACTTCGACTGATGAGGGTTTCCCACTATGACTGCTATCTGAAGATACAGGGAAAATGAATGGGAGGATCACAGCATACCCTGCATACTGTTTTGGAAATGCACTGACTAATGCACCTGCAAAAGAGAGAGAGAGAGACAATTGGTTATGCCAATCAGTAATTTTTCAGCATTTCAGAGATAGATAGGAAACAATGTAACTTTTCACAAGAAAAAGGACCTCGGCATCAAAAATCTCAACGTTTAGAATTCAAAGCTGCAGTTTACAGTAATGTTTGGCTAAACAATTAGGTATAAAATCTGTCCAAACAAGCACAACTCGGCTACAGTCATGATGGTTTGGAGTATGTGCTTCTTAAAATGTAGTTTGGAGAAAAATAAAAGTAAAATTTAACTTGCCATAATCTAGGCTTGGTATGAGGACTTTATAGACAAAAAGTTTGAGTATATTGCTAGGAAATTCTTCATAAAGTGTTTCCCCCTGAAACATACAATTCCGACTTTTAGCCCCGCCTTCATAAAAATTGATCTTCTGACATGTTGGTCTCTTTCCATTAAGGACCCTTTTCCCCACACAATCACTAAATTTTAGAATATAAAATAAGACGGGAGCACAGTGCTATAAATTAGAAGAAGTAACTGATACAGCTGGCACAAAAACCTTACCATCAAGGAGTTTTCGAGGTTGACACTTATTCAGCTACAACCAGTAATTGACGATCTTTACTAATTTTTATCTTCAACCACTCCTTACATACATGGAATTAAAAGAAAGCAAAAACACCGGTGATTTGGCTGATTCTCAGAAATTTTCACTGATACCAGGTCTTTATGGTGACATGGAAGTTTACTCTTGGGGTCAAAGTTCTGTTATCTACATCTTGAGGAGCCGTCGGATGGATTGAACAACCAATTAAGACTAACTAGAAGAAAGAACACTCCCAACTTGAGAAAATATCCTTCACCCATATGGTAGGGATATTTAAAATGGATGGTTGGAGAGAAGGGGATGAGAAATAAGGGGGCTACAAGTGATAAATGGATTGCTTCTTCTGTTCAAGTGAGTAACTCATGAGAGTGATTATTCTAACTCTGTGGACAATTAGAAACCTCTGTCCTTCCATGTTCACTTTAACCAAATCAGCGGGTATGCGACTAAGACTGCAAAATCAGTCTACTTGAAATACAAAATTTAATCTTGGCAAAAGTTGCGATAATCATTCACCGATACAAATATTGTAAACAATCCTGCATCGTGATAAGTACAATGACAGCTGCTGACTGTAGGGATTGATAAGAGTTGAGAATTTAAACAAAATTTCTGGGCTGCCGTTAATTCTAGTGTTTACTGATGGACTCAAACCTGAAGTAATTCTATGATAAGTAATGCAATTTTATATATGATCAGTCATTGAAATGAAAAGTTAGGTTAAGTACTCACCTGTAATCAGCGTGTCCAGCGCCGCGAATATTATCCAAGTTGAACAGATTTTGACTGCTGGAGAGTACAAACAGTCCATACTAAATCTAATGTTTTATGACTAGCAAGAGGGAATTGTAATTTTACAATAAACTATGAGAAAATGGTGAAAAAAGCGGATCATCTGAGACATCTGAACGCCATCACGATACGAAAAGCTGCGCCAATGCGCACGAAATTTTCAAAATAAAAACAATCGTGGTCTCCTGTGATTGGTCACAATTAGTTTCTCGGAAGTCTACCAATCAGTGGATTCCATCGCGCTTATCGCTCGTAGCCGCGAATTTACGATTACATACCGATAATGACAACGTGAAATGAGATATTGGAGCATAGAGAAAAAAAAGGAGGTGTTTGCATCTTGAGGATTTGTACCCACCTACGTCATCAATGTAAACAAGACGCTCGTTGAGGGTTATGTTGACGCTGTAAAAACGGACCATAATGTCCGATTTTTTTACTTAAATCAACTCTTTATTTAATTTCAAGCACTTTTTTTAGAATGACTTTTTCCCTTAAATTACACCATTTCCAAGAAAATCGACAGGATAAAAACGTCGCTGTACCCAATGACGTCATCAAAGCTATAGATACTCTATGAAAAATTCCAAGATGCCCGAAATGCAAACACCTCCTTTTTTTTCTCTATGATATTGGAGGAGCGCTCATCTTGGCAAAATTCTTTGCCGTAGAATTGATGTCAGAAGACAAAAATGGAACATCTCCAAACAAGATAACACTGGAACTGGAGCCAGGGTGACTAAAAAACTTACCTCTAAGATGCTTAGTATAAAATATAACTTGAAATCGGGGACGTGGGGGGGGGGGGGGGGGNGGGGGGGGGGGGGGGGGGGGGTTGGTAAAAAAGTCATTTTTGGGGCCTGGTTAGGTAAATTCAGACAATTTCAAGGCAAGTAAGTTATTTTTCCAAGTTTTACCCTTCCCATGATTTGACCGAAATGATGCCTCTGCTTGTAACTTAAATAATGGCTCAGAGCTAATTGTAAGTGGTGATATTTGAGAAAGCTGCGCTGGAAGAGAAAAGAAGGGAGAAAATTACCTATACAGTATGAAAAAAAATTGTGAAATCCAGGGAGGGACAGATTATCATGGGATACTGAAAGTAAGATCCATGTACATTAGTTAGGATAACACTTTTCACTTTATTGAAAAAAAATTGTCAAATAAAATATTTTATGTAGTCTCTTCAGCCGAACTGAAAAGTCTGAAGGCCATTTGGATAATTAGACGTTTCTTATTTCTTGGCACAACAGATTTTTGTGTGAGAGCTCCTATGAGAGGTATGGAAAAACTCCAATTAACGATTTTAAGGCATAACATCCACTTCTTTCCTTGATTTTTTTTTTTTTAAAAAAGTAGATATTTTTCGCATTCATAATGAGTCTCAAAAAAGGTCCCTTAGAACCATTAGGGACTAATTTCATTTGATTAGTTTTTGGGAGACATTGAATCGAGAAAATCTTGAAAAGTGAATTTCGCTGTCAATGGCATTCATTTAGGTTTTCAATAGTAAAGGTAAAGGTAGTTAGTAATAAAGGCAGTCTTCCGCTCAATGAATATTTTCTCCTGAAATTTTCAGGACTTTTCAGTGGAATTGCGAGCAAAATTATCTGAAAAATTTAAAGAAAAATATTCATAAGTTGAAATTTGTGTTTTATCAAAGGTAATTTGGCAATTACTGAGGGTTCATACAGTGCTTTTTCTTAGTACCTAGGGCAGATAGTCAGAGACCCTATAATTTTGCGCCCTGTTCCTACTCAATGAGATGAACTATACTTAGGCAAGGCTCAGCAGTTTTGTGACAACAATCGGTTGGCCTTGTTGACAACTAAGGGCTAGCTCTACCAAACGTAAAATTTCAAACGCTCACCAACCATCGAGCCTGGTTTGAGTTTGGCTTTGTTTTTTAAATCTCTCACTGGCATGTGTAGATTTTTGCCAAGAGTAGAGGACAAAAAAAAGTATTGACATTCAAATTTCAGAATCGACACCAATAAAAGCATCAATTAATACTTAATCATGAGCAGTTGAATATACTTTTTCCTCGACACAAAAGGATAGAGATGCAGCAATTAAATAACCAGTGACAGCTGATAGTACAATTTATTCAATGAAGGTACCAAATTACAACTTACGTAAAAAGAAAAAAAACTTACAACATTATTAATTACAAATAACAAAAAAAAAGAAAATAATAATAAATAAATGCAAATAAATAAATAAATTATTAATAAATATATCACAAAATAGCTTATTAGGAGAATAATTTCTCCCCCATTCATTCACAACAAATATTCCATTAAGAATGTGCTACGTGCAATTTTCATAGAGCCTCCTTGAAAAGCCAATCCAGTCTGCCAAAGAGGCTGGGAGTATTTGTTATGTTGTGAGGTTTGCTGTTTATTGCCTTTTTGTCCGTGTTGCCGGTGGACAAAAAGAATAGAATCAATTGTCTAGTCTAAAAATTAAAGCTCAAAGTTGGCAGAAAATACTTTACTGCTTCTCTGGGGCTGAGATAGTTTAAATTTCAGTAGATTCTTAAAAAAATTTACGTGGCTTGGTTATTTCTTTCCTGCGGTTGTACTTTCACTATTAGGTTTCATTCACAGCTTAAATTGAATCTTTGAAACTCGTACCTTTAGTTTCGAGTTTGACCAACAGTATCTTTTAGGGGAAGGGGGGGGACTGATTCATTATATTGAATTAAGAAAAGTTAAACTGAATGCAAAGCAGCACTTTACATCAAGAGCTTAACCACAGCCTGGAATTTTGCAACAATGACGGTTGAAAGCCGTGCAATTTTGATAAATTATTGGCAGTTCCACACAATTTTTTAGAAGCAAATAAAAATGAGATTCAAATTTTTCCTACATAACCTTTTGTAGGGTAATCATTGCTTGCAGGTCATGCAGCTAGGAATTACTTCATTAATAGCTGAGTAAGGATTACCATTAGAAAGAAAATATTAGTTTGTAACTAAAAATTTGACAAATTACAAAAAATAGCAAAAAAAAAAAAAAAAAATTGGAGCAATAAACCTTGGAGAAAAAAGTAACATATGAGGAATACTTGGGGAAATTTGGTGAGGCCATGCTATTCAATCATTTTGGAAGTTTCAAAGCTTTCAAAACTGAACGATATTAGTAATTGATTTCTCTTTTTTGTAGTAACATTCAGGCTTTGATAGTTAAATTTTCAAGCTGAAGTAAATTTACTAGACATTGAAAACAACAAAATGAAAACTTGATTATACGAGCTAAAATAATTTACAAACAAGGTGGATTGAATGCAAATTTCTAAGGTACATATTTGAGGGGATAAAAATTGTAAGGCACAGAGATAGTTATTCATTGTCAGTACAATTAAATTATTTTTATTAGAAAAATACCAGTCAAATTTTAAACTGTAGGTGGGTCAGATTTGATCATATCATGGCAGTGACATTGTGCTGGATGAAAGAACTTGGAAAGTTTAAAACAAAAGGCTAAGATGCACTAAAATAAGTATAGAATTGATTCGTTTGGCGTTTCTCCATAATATATAATACATTTTAGTTAATTGAAATATGGAATTTTCAACAATAAAACAAGGCTCTCAAATTCTTGTTTATTCTTCCTTTTGATGGAAGTTTTGTAGTCAATGGTCGGAGAACCAAACTGAAAAAATCGGGGTGGGAGATAGATTAACCATTCTACAAGATGATGAAGCATGGTGAACATTTTTAAATTGCTTTTTTTTACTTGATTGTTTTGCGATAGACTTTTTGAGAATAGGCTTTACAAGATTTTTGTCAGCGATTAATGATAAAAATAAAAGTAGAAATTTTAGATGTGACAATAGCCGCAACTAAGTCTCGATGCAGATGATATTCCTTTGCAAGAGAATAAGCCACCAAGAGACAAAATCTTGAGGATTAGAGTACAAATCACGATTTTTCAAAAGAACAATTTTAGCTTTTAATGAGCATGGCAGCTTATTACATGCCTAAAAATTAGAATTCGATTCACTTTTGCAGATTCTTAATTTAAAATTTACTACCTTAACTAAAGAGCTTTTAAGTATTAAACAAAGGATTTAAGAAAGAGGTTTGGCCAGTGTTACAAAGTGGTTAGGAGGCTTCGTCTTGACTTTACTAAACAGTGTAAATTTGAACAGTTGGAAAATATTTAATCAAATTGATGTAAGAACCACACCTGACCATTTTGTTAAAAGGTCTTCAAATTTTGGAGGCTTCTATGTGGGTGACAGGCAACATGTTTATTGAACACATCAGACAGAAGGATGAAATGTTTTTAAATAAAATAGCCCTGTTGCTATGGCAACCCATGATGGAATCATTGGCTGTCATGCTAGGTAAGTTTATTTGAAAGTAAGATATTTATACAAAGATTAAATTGATTTTTTTCCTGTCTATTAATTTACCTTTAAGACAAAATTAGGAAACCTTTGAACCAAAGTCTTTGAATCAAAGGTATCTGTCTCATGGCCATTGAACCAACACCAAGAAAAGAGGTAAAGGGAAACCAAGATTTTAGAGCACAAGACACAAGCAGAGAATTCAGCTCAGCTTTTTAGGACTTCAAAATAAAAGAGTTGGGTCCAAGTTACAAGGCAGTTACTCGTGACTGGAAATTTGTTTTCAGTGGTAACACACTTCAGCGACACCTCAATTGAACATGCCATGATCCTGAGGCAAAGCAAGATCAAACATGAGGTTACCCCCGCTGGCAATTTCAAATTTTACGTACGAGAAAGTCTTGAGTGCCAATTGAGGATTTCACAGAGCAAATAAAAAGTACGAACAGTAACCGTAGCTTGTCAACGTCAGCCAGAGGTGTTTGCACAGCTGAATTCACTAACTCGGATTTTGGAGAACACAAGGGAAAGAAATATTAGGACTATGCAATAACCGTTCACAAACATGTTTTGGTGTGAGGTGGTGCACAATCTATTGGGAGTAATGAAATCCTTCGGATGACCGAGTAGTCAGTAGGTATTTTAAACTGGCAGTTACGGGTGTTNGGGGGGGGGGGGGGTGTCGACTGCTTTGCACCGTCTGGTTTTTAGTGCAACTGAGCCTGCAGAAAAACTACTGATGCATAACATCAAAATATCATGAAATGTAATACTTGTAAGGATGTGTGATTTCTAATTTAGTGTGACTTTACTGGCAGTGTTTAAAGATTTGATCATAAACATTAAGGGTTAAGAAAATTACGTACATATTTTGGAACAATCAAGAAAGTTAAGTATTTTACGCCATATAGAGGAAAAACATGTTTTCCTAATAATGATTAAAAACTAATAATTCGTCAATTAACTTCAAAACTAAGACAACTTTTTACAAATCCCTTCAATTTTTAACATTTCATGGTACATCACTAACCAATGGGTGACCAATTGACCATCCGGGAAAAAAGAGACCTCAGTCCAGAGAGACACAACTCACAGTGGAGAAATTGTTCTTTAAGTTGGGTGAAAAAAGGGATTATGATGCTTCCACTGAAAATTCTCTTCAATCCCGAAGAGTAAATGTCGAATTGATTTTCATTAACAAGTGGGCGTAATTTTGCATTAACATGCAGCAATCTTGTGCCCTGAATATTACAGATTATAATCTTTGGTTTGCTATGAGAGCTTTCTTCCCAAAACGTTCGTAAAACACTCTTCTATGCTAGGGTATCAATTATTCAATTTGAGTTTTTGAGGACCAAGGTCTCTTTTCCGGTGGATGCTCGAAGATACTAGTTTGATGTAACCTTGTTAGTTACAATTGAGCGACACACAATATAAGACGATTGAATTTTTTTTTTTCTTTGGTTTGTTTTTTTATCTTGGGGATTAAATGAAGTTCACACCAGATAGCTTTTAAAGGACTGAACAATTGAAACTCCATTTAGGCATAGACATTGATTGATCCAGAGTAACAAAAGCTATTAAGAAAAATGTTGATTGATTGGCGCACCTGAAGGTAATACTGGGACACATTCATCGATAATACAAACCAATACTACTTAATTTCCAGCTCACATTTTGGGTCGAACTCATCACGGGAAAGAGTATGTATTGATATTTCACACTGGTTTGCTCATATTTTTTTACACATACAAGAAAAGGGGGCTAATTTTTATGAAAGCAAAGGGACTGCATCGTATGTAAGCAGAGAATTTCCACCTTAATTTTTTAAAATAAGAAATAATCAGATGCAGTAAAGCCAATTGAAGGGCATTAATGAGGAGAACAGACATGAAGATATTAAACAAATTTTGCTGAGATACCGATTTCACTTCAGTATTCTTCCAATTTCTTTTCAATAAATGCTTCTATATGTTTCTTCTGTCTAGCAAATCCTGTTTTTCAAGAAATTAAAAGCGAAAACAGTATTCTGGCAAAATAAATTGGGAATATCCTTGTTTGTAAATGATCGCAAATGATTCTTCTGGAGACGACACATATTTGATTTTAGAGATCTTTTACAATGAATTTTGTTACAGATTCGGAGGGATGATCAGCACATACTGTGTGGAGGGAGAGAGGGTGGGAGGGGGCAAGAGAGGCAAAAGGCAGTTTTTCCGAGATCCAACAGAGCCGGATACGGAATGCTAGACGTCTGAAAAATCCACACCTGACTTTTCAAGCGATGGCCCTAGAAACATACAACGATGGCTTGGGCCCACATTTTATGTTGAGTTTTAGTTCACAACGAACAGCTACAATCTAAATTGTACATCATTTTACATTAAAACTTCACAATACCATAAAAAAGATACATAACGAAAACTATAATAAAAAAAGAAGAAAAAAAGAATCAATAAAAACAAGACAACAAAAACATCCTTTCAACAGGACAAGAAAACTTAACAGTTCCACTGTTTTAGTCTCTGGGTAAAACTGATAGATCCAGTAAATTTATAATTTTCTTTCGGCTATTCCTTTCCATTTGCAGAGCTTGTAAAAATAACAGACACAGAGGGTTACAAATAAGAATGACGATTCAGGAAGATTTGACTGCTAACATGGCAGTCGATTTAGCAATACAAAAACCAAGCATCTATTGGGAGGACATCAATTTCCTAACTGAATTTTCGATTTTAACATTGTCATGGAGGAAATATTAGATCACATCGCCTTTAACAGTAATTTAAGCAATGCATTTTGATCTTTTTCAGATGAGAGCTTTTATACTTAGATGATATTTTATTTGTTACTTTTTTTATGAACTTGGTTTACATTTAATAGATTTTGTGTTCATAAAAAGGCTGACATGAAGAATTCAAGGGCTTGATACAATATTTGATTTAAAAAATACAAATTCCAAGTTTTGCTTGAGCAGTGCTTGAATGTTTCAATTATTGAGAATGAGAAAAAGATTTGATGGAGAAACTTATAGAGTATCAACCTCAGTTGATTCAAACCATAGAAAAACATCTATCAGTTTCATTTGTCAAAAGAGCAGAGAATCAATTGAAAAAATTAATAGTCTACACAGAGCACACTTCTTTTCCTTCAGCAAATTTTTTCTTGGAAGATAAAAATAAAAAAAAAACCTTCTATTCCTGGTAAGTAGCTCATCTTTTTTCAGCAACCCTGTCGGGTAAGGATGCTTGATACAATGATTTTTCCTTTTCATTTGTTTATCATCATGTAAAAGGAAAAAATTACAACAAAAACATCTTCACTGAAAATAAATTACGTTGAATGCAAATTTGTGATCCAAAATTAAAACTACTGAAACAAAGGAGTAAGAGCAATCAAAAGGTGCATTGCTTAAAAAGTTAGAAAAATCCACACTTAATTATTAAAAAAATCAAAGTAATTGCGAAGTATTGTAATTCATTGTATTTTGATCTGTTACGCTGAAAAAAGACAACAATACTTTGCTGCTGGTTTAAGTAAAAGGTCTAATACGCCAAATATTACAAAAGTAAATATTTCAAATCTCTTAAATCCACATAAAAATACCTATTCCAAGTTTTTAAGGATTACAGGAGGAAGATGGGGTAGAGGTACTTGTTAACCGATCTGCATGGCAAAAATACCTCCTTTTAATTTTTTAGGAAAATATTTCTTAGTAGGCAGCGCAATTTTTAAGTACCTTAGAGGCAGAAACGCCGTAGAAATTCTTTCCTTAAAATAAAATGTATCCCATCTGTAAAAAATTTAACAATAGCACATAAAATGAGTTTGTGATAATGAGATTTACAAAAGTAATACAATTGTAGAGGCCGCAACAGAAAAAATACACTCTCCACAAGGAACATTTAAGTCCATGTGAGAATATTACAAAATTTCCATCATACTCTAACAAATATTTGAAGTTTTCTATCAAAAATTTTCTGGGCAACAAATTTAAAAAAGCCAGCTCTGATGGATGCCTTCAAAATGGATCCCTTTCTTAACTCTTCCTGAAAGGGGATTAAACAAAGGAACATGAGACGAAAAATGGACCACACTTACTACAGCTACCAACCGGTTTTGGAGAGTTGGTGATGAGACGATGGTTGATTTGGACTGCAAGTTGCTCGTTTGCAATTCATCTAGGGTTTTCAAACAACGGTCTGTCAACTCAAGGACAGCCTCAGTGACGGATCCAATCGCCCGGCGCCCAAGAGGAAGAGATAGTTATCATCGCCTATTGGTGCTTGCCTGAAAGAACATGAGAAGAACATTAACTCCAAATTCACTACAAACACCTTTAAAATAAAGAACACAAATGCAATAGACCACTGAGCTAAGTGTGAATTTAAGCATAATGACACATTTCATTCATTCATCAAAATTTCACATAGAAAACGATGTGAGCAACAAATATCATTGAATGTGACTCTGAGGTCCTCCTAACCCGTGTAATAACGATTTTTCACTTGTAGAATCAAACTTCTCACACAGGAAAAAAACCATAATTTACCTGCGTTAAACCTCATACTTAACGTCACCGTAATAGTCTTTGCGGTATGAAAATGACTGTGACGGCTTGAAACACCTTACCTCATCAGTGCCTAAATACTTAGAGCCCAGATTTACCCATTTTTTTCATTCTTATTATGATAAAAATTACTCTCTTTGAAAATTTACCTCTGGGAACTAAGATCCCATTACCTGAAAACAATCAAAGATAAAATAACTGAACGGACAGGGTACCTACTGAGGTCCACAAAAATAAAATAAGTACTTTTTCAGTACTTTTTAGGTACGTAAGGAAAAATTTAAGTACCTCATCTTGGGGAAAAATTAAGTACTTTTTAAGTACCTTTTCGATATGTATCGCAATTCTTCAATTTTGGCACTGCCGCGCGCTTTACTTCGGCTATTCCCGTGACCTTTTTGGCTGTTTCCGTCAAATCTAGGGAAATGCCTTATTCCGCTCCTCTACAACAACCGCGGTCTTACGGGCTGACATTGCACTAATACGCCTGACGGACAACGCACAGAGGGTTGCATAACTATCAGGCAATCGAACTGAACGCGCAGCACAAAATGCGAAAAATTACGGACCTTCCGCGAGATTTACGTACTTTTACGGTACTTACGGACCGACCTTAAAAAATGCGTACTTTTTCCGGACTGGTAGACACCCTGAACGGAGCAGTGCTGCCAGGAAATTCCAAGTGTAAATATTTTTCATTGTCCGTACTGTGTCAGTTTGGGTGAATATTTTTCCTCTGTGCAGAAAATTTTATTGAAAGAAGTCCCTGTTCTTTGTCAAATCGCCACCACATACCCAAAAGACTTTCAGAAATCGTTTTGATGATCAAAAATCAGCGAATTTCATTTGCAACTGTGTAAAAAGTGTCTTTTTCATTTTAATGTCAGGCTGGTGTTAGGCACAACAGCTGTGGTGCTACCTTCTGAATGCTTTCTGGTTGCGTTTTGCAAACAGAACAAACTAATTTTCAGTTTCGATATGCCAGAAAAGGTCCTCATTTTACTGATAAAAAGCAATGCTCTGAAACAACAACGATGATAAGACGAATTGTGCTGCTTTAGATGTTTCAGTGATTTCATCTAAAAGAGATTTGACGACTTATGAAAGAAACTCGACTAAAACACTTTCAGAGTTATGAATCTTTTTTATTGTGGCAGAAAAGATTTGTACTTCCTAAGTTTGGTTGGGAAATACTGACAACAGGAATGCCCGTAGTCTTTCTCAAATTCCACTCATACTTTGCACAGGAATAAAGAAGGGACAATTTGGGTGATCTTAATTTTTTTTTTTCAGCTATTGATGGTCATCTGTTTTTGAGATATTGGTTTTTGTGGAATGAATAATCATTTTGAAAAAACATATTGTTACCCTAAATTTTCCTCATCCATCCCTATTCAAAATATAAATGGAATTGGAATGAGACACTTTAAGTGATCCCTTAGTGAGACAAATTATTAACACAAAAGACTTACTTGCTACCATATTTAGTTTCCCTAGCGAGAATTCGCAGGACTCTCCTATGCTCTTGCTCCAAGAGAATGGCATTCTCTCGGAGAGACGAAAGCGTCCGACAGCATGAGGGAACATCTTCTATGACTGAACTTGGTAAAATACTTATATCACCGGGATAAACGGCTTGACAAGCTCCTGGAAAAAAAGGGGGGGAAACATCAAAATTGAACTCTAATAGTTTTGTAACAAAAATGAGCTGTAAGATAATCAAGGTAAGTTTAACCCATCGACCGAAACGGACGAGTGGGACTCGTCCACGCTGGGCCTGTGTCTGAAGCGACGAGCCCCACTCGTCCTGAGACTTGGCTACATTATTTGCGTTGTTTTGGGTGTCTCCCGATACAGAGCGCCACATATATCGACTCATGTGAACACAGTGGCAAAACTTTCCCATATTTTCCCGATCTGGTCCATTATTTCCGCGATTATACAGTAATTTTCAAGTTTAGAAAATAACCCTGATTTTTATTTTTGCTTGGAATTTTTCAGTTTTTCTTTGAGGTTACGCTTTCTATTTTATTTGTTTTGCACTGGTTGCAGTTTTGTTTTTTGCACTCTATCTTATAATATAAGTAATCTGCGTTTCTTCTTGGGTTTGCAAACCCTTTTTTCTTGTTGCATGCTGTTTTTAGTCAAAAATACATGATTTTCCCTAATTTTCCACTTTTTTTTTCAATTTTTCCTCACAGATTTCAACAACACAGATGTATAAAAATGGAAGTCATATTCATCAACCAGGCAATTTTTCTCTCTTCTTAGTCTAGTAGCAAGTAACCAATTAAATTTTTTTGAGTTAGTGGCTCTACAAGCCCCAAAAAACTGATTTTATAGGGTAAAGGTGAAATTAGCAAATCATGGCCAAAATTAAATACTCATTCTTGGCGCGGAAACCCAAAATTAATTAAACAGTCAATGGGTTAAGGTGTTCAGAGACTGAAATATTCAATGAAATTTTAATTTAAACGATTTATCCATGCTCAGTTGTGGCACAAAATATTAAACTTTGTACTTGTAGGAGAAAATTCGGGATTTTTCAATTTACTTTTTTTTCCTATATTTTTCCCCCTTCCCCGATTTCTAATAATTAATTTTTAATTTTTTTTAAAAGTTCTTTAATTTTTCTTTTTTTTAAAAAAAGGGGGAAAACATGTAAAGTATTGCATCAAAATATTTTTTTCCATGGAAATTTTAGTAATTTTAGTATTTTTTCGTTTGTTAATGTACTTCACTTAAAACTGCTTTTGGATGAGGGTTGATGAATTTTTTAACAATAATACATGAAAATATTGCTAAGTTGAAAAAATGCATGATCGTTATGTGCTGCAGGGAATTCTACTGATATAGGATTTGCAAGAGTATTGTACACTTCATTGAAGATAACTGGGTAGATGATACAAACTAACCCGTAGTAAATGAGAAATTTCTCAAGATACTCACTTAAAATGTCTTCTAATCTATCTAAATGAGCAATAATTAAGGCGTGTATCCTTGCTAATTCTCTATCTGCATCAACATTTGTTTGTAATTTATTTACAGCAGGTATGATCGTTGTGTGACTACAGCCTGTTGCATCTTCATTCGCCTGCCTACAACTGAAAAGCAAGAAATAGCAAAGCGTTTAGCTTCGAGTCATTTAAATATGATCACAAAGGATAAAATGACCATGATATAACATAAAAATGAAGCATTCAGTATTGCAGAGATGAAGAAAATGTTGTAAATAAAAAACTACAATAAATTTCACATATTACTTCTGGTTTGTCAACATTTTTCTTTAATTGTAATATAAGTCTTTAAATTTGTCATTTAATTTGGAGGAATTAAAAAAATGTCCAATCTTGCATTCTGCCGCAAACGAAAAAAATCTTGGATTGTGAGGCAAATTTCAAAAGTAATGACCTTTTATTCAACACAAATTGCAATCATTGAAGACACTTAGGTTATTTTGCCATGAAATCGGGCATTTTCGGAGATGCAGATCGATAAATTGGCCTTGAGGCAAAAACGTCAGCTAGCGACGAACAGTCAGCGTTTTGGAATTTTTTTTTAAAACTAAACATTTTTAAAAAGTACAGATGAACAAAAGAAAACGAAAACAATGGCATTGCAGTTAACATTGAATTTTGATTTGGTAAACATGATCATCTCTCAATGACTGAAACAGGTTGTTTTTCTGATTATGAAAGTATTATTATTATTAAAGTCGCTTTACAACGCACTCTGGCGTTCTACGACACCCAATCGCCACATATGCCTGTCTTCCCAGAGGTTATCGGGCAACTGACACATGAAAGTAAATTTTTAAAATGTACAGATGAACAAAAGAAAACAAAACAATGGCATTGCAGTTAACATTGAATTTTGATTCGGTAAACATGATCATCTCTCAATGACTGAAACAGGTTGTTTTTCTGATTATGAAAGTAAGGTTTTAGGAATGACTGAGGATACGGACAAATCGAAAGGATACTAACCACTGCCAACAGCTATTAATGTATGCAGCAGGATGATACGTTTCTAATTTTTTCTTATTGCTGGAACACAGTTTATGTAACATATCTATCCATTCCTTTTCCTCCACACAATTACTAGCCTGAAATCAAAAGCGATGATACATCAAAACAAGATAAAAAATTCTAAGCAGAGTTTGAAACCAGCATTACATTCATTTGTCTCACTTTGAGAGCGAATGGGTATATATCTAGTGGAGATTAATAGGAAGGCACTAAGCTTGAACCGAGAAAAAGAGTTTGAAGTTTTATCTCTTTTTGAGACTCAACGCTAAAGACAACGTTTTGCAGCTATTTTCACGTTCAATAGATTGTTTCTTGATTTGAAATTTTTGATGGGGGAAAATTTACAACTAGTTGAATTCAAAACTGATCCTGACTTATGTTTTGTTCAAAATGGGACTCAGTGTATTCTTCTAAACACTGTCCGATTTCAGAATAATGCAAAGAGATTGACATCTGATAAAAGAGTACAGGTGTTCTCATCACCTTTGAAATTACAAGATTAGTGCTTACACCATTTGAGTGACTTGATTAGAAAACCGCCCAACTTTGGTGCAACATCTAAGTATCTTTAAAAATGTCAATTTCTGTGAGGAATTGAGGCCAAAATGTTGGATTAAATAATGTTACAATTCCACATTATGTTCTTAAAAGAAAACGTCCAGATATCATAATATGTATTTCATTGTTGGTTTCTTTTCATCAAAGGTTATACATGAGAGCAAACTGAAAAGTCACAATCGAGTTGGGCAGTTTTCCCAGTAAACCATTTCAAAAGAAAACGAACAATTTAATTACCACCGCAAAACATACATTGATAACCTCCTTACAAGTACACATCAAATCATATAGGACTTTTACCTGTACATAAAGAATTCTATCTGGTTGTATAATTTGAAACATGTTATTCTTCCTAAATGCTTCCTGTCGAACTCGCTCTACAGCTAGAATATCAGGTAATACAACGCTGTAAAGTGGTTCTTTGCCTGCAACAGATTGAAACATAAAATATAAGAGAAGAACTCAAAGTCTCATTGCAGCTATGAAAAATATTGGGTGCTGTAGAGGTCAGCTGAGAGGATCCTCAGGATAAAATACTGGCATTACAACTTGGAACCAGGTACATACTAGAGAATATATGAATTAAAGCACTCTATTAAATGTTTACTCTTTTCTTGACCATGCGACTGGGTCTTGATGAGTTGTGTGCAAAAATAGGAAGACACTGATAACAGGATTTCAAAATGGGAAGGGGACAGCCGGCAAAATCGCATTTATTTTTGCAATGTACAGAGCCATAGAAAAGTCATCACTATGAAATTTCTGAGGAAAACAGGGTTTTTAAAATAGGAAGGCCTATTATAGGCGAGGAATTTATATTACAAGGCAGATCATGAACTTCCTGCATCCCTGTTCCATTCGATCAGTGTTAAATTTCACATGCATGTAGTAATGTTCATTACCCTCTTACCTTTATGCTTAGCGTAAGACAAATCTCTTGTGGTCAGTCGAAAATATCGTTGTTTGAAATTTTTTCTTCCAAATCGTTTCCTACCTTGCGCTCTCTTAGTCATAACTCTGCAAAAAGAAAAGAAGGAGAATAAATAAAATTGGGTACAGACCTCTATGGAATAAGCAAGGAAAAGAAGACATTTATATGTGCTGTGAGCACCCTGAAAATACTATAAAACTGTACACTAATTGTACACATATAATGCAATGAAATACAACGCAGAGGTGTCTTAACTTTCAAGCTTACCATATTTACCCGCGTATCGTACGCACCCGAAATTTTGTAGTCATTTGAAAAAAAAAACAGGGGCATCTTATCTTGAGGCAATATCCGCCCTCAACTTGGGACCCAAAATTTTGAAAAAAAAGTGCACACAATATGCGGGTAAATACACTATTTACTTGTCAATATTTTGAGATTTAATAATTACTGACTCAATGTAAATTACTGCCATCCTGGGCCCAAAATTCATACCTCATGGAGGACGTAAATCAACTTTATGGACCGTTTTCTCTAGTTAAAATGACACTAAATGTTGACACCAAGAGAAAATGTGAGAAAAAATGTCATAACTTGTAAAATCATACTGCAACCTGTCTCACCTCAGCTAATAATCCAAATTGCAAGCACAAAAAGAGGAAAGATCAAATATTAAAAATTGTACATGGGATTTGAACAGATTTAAAACTATAGGATCACTTGTAAATGTCAATAGGAATGACAAGCTACAACATTTCCTTAAAAAAAATAACTGTCACAGAAGGCGATTGGATCCTTGGTAAGTACTTTATAAGAACCTGACTTTCTGCTTTCAGCACATTGATTGCCACGGCTTTTGTAACCTTCTTTTTTGCCCCATCGATTGTATCATTCAGTTTCACCGAACTATCGAGAATAAAAGCTTAAAACTTTACTTTTTTAATTATATGCCACTTCTTTACTTTACGCAGCACTGATTATAGCTTTTGTATTTGCCAGCCGTCAAATTGTTGACCGGAAGACATTCAATACATGCTTTCCCAAGATGCTGCGAGTAACTTCCGAATTCTTTCTAAAGTAAGTGATAAGGAAAAAAAAAGGAATTTTGGATGGCTGACGAGGAAACATTATTGCAATTTTTTAAAAGCTCATGATAAGCAATAGTTATAAAATACCAGGTTTGAAAAATCAAATCAAATCCAGAGAGTATTTTATAATGCAAGAAAATTGCTGGTAAATCTAATGTACAAAGGAAGGGAACCAGAGATCTTACCCTTCCTTCAGAATTACTGGAGCATCTGAGTTCTTCTGAGCTGGATCAGAGGACGCGGAGATTAATTCTAAAAACTGCAAGAAAAAGAAACTGAGAATTTAAGAAAATAAAGACTGATAAATTACGAAAAAACCATTGGCTTTTATCTTCCCAAAAGTTAAGATATACTTTTCAACAATTAATTGTTTACAACTTTGCGGAAAATCTTTGTCACAAGCAGCAAAGAATGGAAAATAGTATTTTAAACCTTGACATGTCATATTTGGCACACTAAATGATAAAGGGTTACAATAGTTGCTGTTTGTCTTGCTCATCATTCTCAAAGAATTGTATCTTATATTAAAGAATGCAAATTTGCAGCACTCTTCAAAATTTTTCCTTTGATTGAGACAGCCCATGTAACTGTTTTCCACTGACAAAATAGTATTTTTTGCAATAGTATAGCGTATCTTAAATACACAACATCTCCTTTTTCCATCAAATCTAAATACAATGATTTCTTTCTTGCTACAGTAAGATACTTCTACGCTGAGTGTTGCATGAGATAAGTCAAAAACGGTGTTTTCATAAAAATGAGGTGGCGTCTTATCAAACTACAAGATTCAATTAATGAAAAAAAAAATAGAAAAAAATCATTCTAAACAGTTGGAAAACAAACGCTCTTGAAGAAGGACCCACATTTTTTAAATAAAAATTGAAAGCGGTGCTTACACAATTCTGTAAAAAGAACGTTTGTCACTATGCGCAATTTCTGTGCTTCTCGTCAAGAGTGAAAATGATGATCAGTAAAAAAAAGTCCGCACAGGAAATGGAAAAACTAATATCTTACCTGTCTAACAGCTGTGATGTGGGTTTCGTCTGAATAGAATGTTTGATACATGGAGCTCATGTATTCCTCCTTGCAAGGAGGTGTCCGCGACGAAACGAGATTACAAAGGCTCTGAATTGTTTTAGAAATTAGAGTAAGAGTTCTATTCATTTGTGAGTCCTGGAAAAATGAAGCTGAGTTAAGTATTTGAAATTGAGCTAAACCCTGGATGGAACTTGGGAGACTTACTAAAAAAAAACACATAGAATACTCATAGAAAAAAATATTTCTTGGACAGTGCGAACATGAAAGACAGTGAATTTATTATCTTTCAGCAACTTGGGAAGTCTTTTAAACCTTCTTTGGAAGCTTTTATGGCTTTTTAAAGGGAATTCTTAGGTACATTCACATGCTCTTTTTTTTCTTTGCCTCAAGGAAAGCAGGTAAGAGAAATAACGCAAAAGTTGAACGGGTTCGTGTAAGATACTGTAACAGCTCCTATTCTCAGTTGGAGATTTCTATAGGCTTGACAGGGTCACTACCGCTCCTAGTAATACGTTGAAAATGAGTTACATAAAAAAAAAATATTTGTTTGAATGCCTCTTAAACTGTGAGCACCTTAGATGCTACAAAGGTTCTGAAAAACTTAAGAGCTTCTAGAAACATAATTGATGAGGGTTTCAGAGGAGCGCTTAGAAAAGATGTTAGAGGTCGTTTCTCTGATCTGTCTTAGGAACAAGCAGGTAGCAATGGTCTCCACTTTGCTGCCATTAGTCAAAATATCCTGTACTTGGAGAAATGAGACTGTTCTGGGCTCTTCTTCCAGAGTTCTCCTTACTTAGAGAATTGACGAAGAAAATACAAAAAACATGAGAAAAGGCTTCAGGCTACTTACAATTTGCTCTGTGGTGAGATCAAATAACCGAGGTCCCAAGATAGCAGGAGCGAAAAATCTTAAAAAAATAAAGCCGGACACAACAGAGTACCTGACTTCTTTATTGTCTGCAAAAGAAGAAAAAAAGGTTGGTTAAACATCGCAGGAAAATAAAAAAATAAGAAAAGAGAATTGACTGATTTTCAGAAAAATTTTCGATTCAAGTTTGACGTCCAGGAAATTTTGAAATTAAGCATCTTACAAGGGGAGCTTCCCAAGTGTAACCGGAATTTCGAGTTGAAATTTCGCATGAGGATACTAGAGATGACTTTAGGGATGCCGTATTTTTTCGTTTTTTCGAATGGGGTCGGGAAAGCCCTCAAAAAAGGGGCTAAAGATGTGGAAAAAACGCGTGCGCTAGCGGCACAAGGTAGACGTAGGTGATAGAGGCTCTCCATCCTTATCAGTACCGCATGGCCAAACGGTAGCGCGCTCGCCTCGCAGGCGGGAGGTCTTAGGATCGGATCCTGGTTCCAGCTCGTAATTTTATTTTACTTTATGCTTGTTTATTTTTCACTTACTTTATTTTGCACCATTCGCTCCGCAAACCGACTTACGAGGTAGAGCATGTAGTGACTGAAGATTTTTTACATATGCTGATAAAAACTCGAAGTCTCTCTTGGATTGAAACGTTATATGTCATTGAACAAACAAAACACTCTAAAACTCACCAAATTTCGTTGCCAAGCTGAATTTCCGGAGTATCAGTCAGATACAGATACAGATTCGACTGATACTCCGGAAATTCAGCTTGGCAACGAAATTTGGTGAGTTTTAGAGTGTTTATTGTTTATTGAATTATATATAACGTTTCAATCCAAGAGAAACTTCGAGTTTTTATCAGCATATGTAAAAAATCTTCAGTCACTACGTGCTCTACCTCTTAAGTCGGTTTGCGGAGCGAATGGTGCAAAATAAAGTAAGTGAAAAATAAACAAGCATAAAGTAAAATAAAATTACGAGCTGGAACCAGGATCCGATCCTAGGACCTCCCGCCTGCGAGGCGAGCGCGCTACCGTTTGGCCATGCGGTGCTGATAAGGATGGAGAGCCTCTATCACCTACGTCTACCTTGTGCCGCTAGCGCACGCGTTTTTTCCACATCTTTAGCCCCTTTTTTGAGGGCTTTCCCGACCCCATTCGAAAAAACGAAAAAATACGGCATCCCTAAAGTCATCTCTAGTATCTTCATGCGAAATTTCAACTCGAAATTCCGGTTACACTTGGGAAGCTCCCCTTGTTAGCCTTATTACAGCTTCAACACAGATAAAGCTTCACAAGCTTCTTTAGAGGGGCAGAGGATTTTTTCCTTTGAAGTTTTTGTGAAGTTCTGATAAAAAAAATACTGGAAAAAAAACAAGAATAATGCCTTTTGGGCAACTAGGGCTCTTCCAGTCAATGTGGGATTTGCACTCTTTTTATGTTTGCATCACTGAGCTGTTCATAAAATGATTTAAAGATATACTTGATCCTACTTTTTCTTTCTTGTAGGATGCATTTATGCAAAATAAGATTATGTGCACAGAGTTATTCAGACCAGATAAACTTCTAATGGCTAAACAGTCCAATTATTAATGTGAGATCTACATTTTAATTTTAACTACGAACTGATCGCAGTTTGCCCCATGTGTTGTTTAAACGGTGTTCGTGATTATGCTGACATGCATTAAATTTTTAAATTGATAAAAAGAGTAGGTGATATATAACGGGTAAGGTAAAGGCAAGAATAGAAATACTTACCAGGAAAGTATAAAATGGCCAAATCTTTTAAGTTGTGGAAAATTTGGCACAAAATTGATGGGCAATGCAATGCAGATGTCGTGATTGCTTCAAATACTTCTTTGACATACATCTGAAACAAAGAATCAGGAGACTTAAACTAGGCAATGAATGGAGGGGGGGGGGGAACAGGTCTGAATCAACTACTGTTGAGCTGAAGATTAACACAGAACAACGTCAAAGACTCCTCACCACATTTAAATTACAGATCTATACAATATGCTGCGGATCTATCCCGAGTAATTGCATAGATGGACATATTTCTGTCAAATGGAACTAAGCGCATATTTGAGTTCCTTTTGAGGAATTTATAATGCCGGATAGCGCATTCTATCAAACGGAACTAAGCGCCATGGCAAAGCATTGCGAGTGAAGGACGGAATGAGCCCTGCGTTCCACAACACCCGCCAATCCAAGCCCCCCTTTTCTTTCCTCCGCCTACAGCGCTTAGATCCGTTTGATAGAAATACGTCCAGGCGAGAAAGTTGGAAATCCTGGTCAGTATTTTCTACAGAAAAATCTGATGTTCAGAAATTCCTCTCAGAAAACCATGATAAAAAGATATTGGTGGTTTCAGGCTCATTGCCAAGGTCCATTCGGACTTAATTCCAGGAAATAGCAGCATTAGAGTTTAAGTACTGCAAACAACATTGGGCCCAAGCTACGTTGACACACTGCTTTCTGTCTAAAATTTTGGATTGTTTTCACTTATACACCAGTGATGTGACTTCAGAGTGTCTCCTTCACTAATTAAAACTTCAGCTGTGATATGGCTGAGGGATGAAAATACATTAAATTTGGGGCAAGTTGATGGTGGCATATAAAAAGGCACATTTCCTTACTTTCAAATTATTAAAATTAGTCCTAATTGTATTGGTGTCCTTCACTCTGGTTGGATCAATTTCGCACGGCTTGCGCTCCAGGAAAATTTTCTCCAGAGGGCCACGCAACGTTTCGTGGAGATACCTCAATCCTGCCAGTCTCATTACTTCATCCATCATTTTAGAAACCAGTGTATTTCCTCGGAATATGGTGTTGGCATCCCTGAAAAATGTTAAGACATGACTTTATTAGATTCAGATTATTCAAGGGATTGGCGGTATATTGAAGTGTTCATAGGACTCTCAAGAGCTTGTATACATAAGAAATCAATGAAATTGATACATAAAAAAATTGATTTTTCTCTTCAATTAATACTCTATATGTACATTACGAAAAAAGCTAATAGATTTTTATTAATGTATCACCATCCCTACACATAACTAGCCCTCCACAGCTTCATGACCATCTGCAAAAAATAAAAAGAGGACGAAAACAAGGTAATAATTCGATGCCTACTCACGTGACTTTAGAAATCTCCCATTTAGCCAATGCTCTGATTGTTGGCACAATCTGATCGTAATGAAGAAGTATCCTCACTAAAGGCTGGGCTGCATCGATCTTGCACGGAATTATTTCGCCAAGCAAGTAAGCGGCACTGGAGGTAATCGGTTGAGACTCTGGATTCTTAATTATCAGGTCTCTGAGCTTGATGTAGTTGTGTGAAGGAAGAACGTGGTCCAGAATGTAATTGATCTTCAGCCGCAGTGATCCGATCGAATTCTCATCATTTATCGCTGACGAGAGAGATGAGGCTGACACTTTTTGAGTGGGTCGTTTCTTGCGCGGCTGCAGGTAGTACCTGATTCAAAGGGTTGACGAAAATTCATTATACATGATATAAGTAATTGCAGTGACAAAAATATTAAATTGGTGACAAAGACAGTTCCGAATGAACACAAAACTACAACAACAGTATTAAAGACAACACGTTACTTTTTAAAAATATTTTTGTACATGAGTCCTCTTCTCTCTATGATGTTATCTTCACAGAACGACAAATTCAGGGATGCAGAAAGTTTATAACCTTTCCAATTTTACTCCTTTTTTGCTAGATCTATCTAAGTGGTGATCATTGAATTATTTGTCACTCTCATTATGTACAAATGATCTCGGCTCAATATTTACCCGATTTAATCCCTCCATGGCATGGTGTAACAATTTTGTTACTATGCATTTTTTGGTTTCTTCAAAAAAGAATCATTCCTCTGAGGTATGATGCTGTAAATTTGTTTCCGGGTTTTTGTTTTTGTTAACAGGAATACCAAAATTTTGAGGGAAAAAATCGGAACTGAATGTTTTAATGAAAGTTACAGCATAGATTTGCATCCCTCTGAATCCAATATCACTACATGCCATGGAGGAATAATAACATACATTAAATAAGTTCATCCAAATGCGAACTGGTCTTCATATGATAAAGGTTCTTTCTGACCGCAACCTACCAGTTGTGTGGTCTAGAAGGTTCTGTATCCCTGAAAACAAATTTTCTGCACTTCATTCAAAGGGAATTCAAGACATTCTCAGCACCAAGACTGTAGAAGATTAAACCCTTTTTTTCCTATCTTCTTGTATATCAACATTAATTTTAATTACTGAACTTGCAGCTGATAGCTACATAGATTATAGCCAGCCAATCACGCGTAGGCTTGTTGTCTCACCACCCGTGATGTCAGCAAGACAATATACGCATGGGTTGCCCTAAGATCTAGGTCTGTCACTTTATTCTACCTCTCTGAACTCATGTGAATTATTCTGAGCATCTAGACCCGTGGGACGTACACTCTCTCTCTCGCCCTTTAATAATTTTGTGTCCTCTCTCGCGACATCACACATTTCTTTTAAGTGATTATTTTCTTATTTTCCGAACTGTTATGTGATTTTTGTGCTCTCATTTTCCGACAATACAATCAAATTCATCTCAAGAAGATCCAGTGTCCTTTATTTGATCTGCGTCTCTCTGTAGTTTGTTGTTCCTACAATATCAAAGAGAAACTGGTGCCGAAAACATTGCTTTTGAAACGATCTCGCTATAACATCGTAAGAAACCCTTTTTTATTAAGACTCTCGTTTATAACATGGTTCCGGAACCCAGTTTTCGTTTATAACATAGTACCAAAACCCTCTTTCGATAAAGAGTTTCGTTAATAACACTGATGTATAAAAGAAACAGGCACCAAACATAAAATTTATTGAATTATAGATGACAGACCCAGAAAATTTGTTTCTTCTCAATTTTTAACGAAAAGAAAGCAAAAAAATAAAGATACATACCATGCATTGGTGGCTGCATAATTCTGCTGTTTAGTACCAAGCAGAGGTATTTTTACTTCACCTAAGAAGACATTACCACCGGATGAATCATGGTATAATGTTACCATAAGCTCAGACCAGTCTCTATCATTAGGAGAAACACTGTGATCAGTATTCCGCGGGAGGTTGGCTAGCTATACAACAAAACATTCATGAATAAATTAGAGAGAGTGAAAATAAAATTTAAATTGTTACATTTAGTAAAAGGCTAATTCACAACCCAAAAGAATGGTTTAAGATAATTGATTCAGTTTGAAGCAAGATATTCTAGGTCAAATTGCATTATTGTAAATTAAAGTTGATACCCCATCAACTACTTAAAAGCCGGGATTTTATCCAAATGCTTATTGGTGCGGGTCGGTAGCGCCCAACGCCAACTGTCCTAGTAACTGCCCTAGTAAACGTCTTATTTTCGCCAGGCGTCAAAAATTCAAGTATCTTGGCGATATGTTGGATAGTGAAGCAAAAACAACGACAGCAATTAAATACAGGATACAGGCTGGAAACCGAGCCTATTACACAAACCTGAAGATGCTAAAGAGCAAACTGTTGTCCAGGAGGACAAAGATGCAAATTTACAAAATGTTAATAAGACCAGTAGTAACGTATGGTGGTGAAACCTGGACCATGACAGAAGGGGACCAGCAAATGCTGAGGCGATTAGAACGGAAAATTATTCGAAGAATTTATGGAGCGGTGAAAATCAATGAAGAGTGGCGAATTAGAAACAATAGAGAAATAGAAATGATCCTAGAAAATGAAGATACAGTAAGGTTTATCAAATCGCAAAGGATAAGCTGACTTGGTCATGTACAAAGAATGGAAGAAGAAAGGATGCCGAAGAAGGTGCTGCAAGCTAAAATATTGTCAGCAAGAGAGAGAGGAAGACCTGGGCTTCGGTGGCTAGACGGAGTTGAGCAAGACCTGAAGAAAATGCAAATAAAAGGATGGAGTGAAAAAATCAAAGATAGAGGGATGTGGAGAGGAATCGTTATGGAGGCCAAAGCCCACCCAGGGCTGTAGCGCCCTTAGTAAGTAAGTAAAGTAATGGTTATGCTATGGTATGTGTAAGAAGTTCCTGGAAATAAGAGAGTTACCTCAAAAGTAAAAGTTTCATCGAAAAGAGGTGAATTAGTTTTTTTCTTGATTTTGGTTTTCCGCATGTCAACTTTGCCATTCATGTATTTAACTGTGACTGTTGCAACTGCATCACAAGATCCATTGAATAATGTGAGGTCACAGGCTTCATTCAAACGTACAGTTAGGCGCTCTGCAGCTCCGTACGTTGAGTTCTTCTCGAAACGAACTTCCAGATGAACCTTCCCCTGCGAAATTCAAGAATCAGAAGATAATTTTAGATGCATTAGATCACAATTAAATTCGAGTATTTTCTGGAGAAACTAGCATGTTGAGATATTTAGATAAGGAGCTTAACTCTCTATCTAAATTGCGCTCATTAACTTTTTTTTGATAAACTTTATCGACGTGATCTGTGGGCTTGGAAGGAACCTCAGCTCAGCGAGAACAAGGACTCTGGTCGAGAGCCTCGGCTCGACCACATCTCTCTCTCTTGTTTTCTGGACTCTGGACACTTACGACTTTTGGAACATGGAACCCCTGGATATCTCGGTGAATCGTCGAAAGACCTTTCTTATTCTTGTCATTTTAGACGTTTTCAACATTTTTTCAAAATTCGTAATTTTTCTCTTTTTTTTTCAAAATTTTCTCAAAATTTTCTAAGTAATAAATTTGTAAAACGCCAATCATTTTGTATTATTTAATTTGAAAGAAATCCCTATCGTAATACCCGTAAAAAGCATGAATGTTTGAATTTTTAAATTTTTATTTTAAATCAGTTTTCTGATTCTGCTCTCCCACACTGTTTCAGCATTTGTAGTTGTCAAAATACTTTGTTTTTCACTCCAAGGGTGAATCACGAAGTATTTCGTCAAATACATCTTACTAATCGCTCCTCCAGTGATCGACTTGATTTTTATAAGAGTAAATATTAAATTTCATAGAATTACGTCTTATGGAAATCGAGTCCATCTCTGAAGGAAGGGTGACCTTTCCCTTACAGGGGTGGCCATCACAAGTGGTGCCGAAACCCGTCTTTCAAATTTTTTGTTTTTCTTTTGAAATCGAACCATTGCTTCTTTTCTGCTAATTAAATAGTTTCGCATCTTCACAAGTGGTGCCGAAACCTCGGTCTTCAATTTGTTTTGTTGAAGAACCTTTAATTTTTCTATTTTTTTCCAGCTTTTTGAATTTTATTTCAATGCTATTTTTTGTTTAACATGCTTTAATTTTTCACTTTGTTTCTCTAAAACACGATCGAAGGGATTTAAAGGCGTTCTAATTTTGAATTATGACAATTAGAATTTCATTCTGAATTTTTGTTTGAATTTCTATTAATCTTTTATTTCATTCTTGTTAACTTGTCAGTGATTCAGTGCCCTCACAGGAATTTTTTTTTCTTTTTGTTGAGTGTTTAAACTTTTTTTAATTAAATTTTTAAACCACTACAGTTTGTGGGCATTGCTGTGTCTCTGGGCAGCCATTGCAACATCGACGAGGTGTAGTTTAACAACTTTTTTTTTTTTGACTAAAATTATATGCGTCGATTTTTTTTATTGTTGTGTGCTCATGATTTCGTGTAAATTTAAGTTCTTCTCAAACTTCTACTCCTTCTCACAGTCGAAATCCAAGTAATTCTACAAATCCTTTAACTAACTTGCAAAAGCTTAGTCATAAAAAAGCTTGAAAGTAATTTCAATCCTGATCGTAATACCCGTAAAAAGCATGAATGTTTGAATTTTTAAATTTTTATTTTCAATCAGTTTTCTGATTCTGCTCTCCCACACTGTTTCAGCATTTGTAGTTGTCAAAATACTTTGTTTTTCACTCCAAGGGTGAATCACGAAGTATTTCGTCAAATACATCTTACTAATCGCTCCTCCAGTGATCGACTTGATTTTTATAAGAGTAAATATTAAATTTCATAGAATTACGTCTTATGGAAATCGAGTCCATCTCTGAAGGAAGGGTGACCTTTCCCTTATAGGGGTGGCCATCACAATGTGTTTCTGAAAATAAAAATTCTTGCGGTCACTTAAAAAACTTACTCCAGTTATCATGAGATGCAAGAGATTTATAGGATTTTAGCTTGTCCATCTTAATGTTCAGTAACACTGAAAACCTTTGGCTTAGCATCTTGCAAATTTAAGCGAAATAATAGGATGGATTTGAGATTGGAAAAAGATAAAGTCACATCCTCGTGTTACAGACTTAAGTGGGGATCTATGAACTGTTTTTGCTCTGTTTCTTTCTCAACATTATACCTTTATTGTTCAGCCAAGGGACTTATTTTCAGTAAAATAAATTCTTTAATATTGAAACGATAAAGGATTCTTTGTCTTACACCAGCCAGGCTGCACACCTGCATTGATTAATTTTAAGATCTTCATGTTAGTAACATACCTGAACTTCACTATCAGCGGTAACTGGGCGGATGGGGAACCAGAAGTCTTTGTTGTTGTTATAACTAGGTAGTTCTTCTTTCTTAATGGCAACTTTACCAATAATTTTATCCAGCTTGCTCTCTCGATCATAAACATACACGCTCAAAAAGCGAAAGCTTCTTGGGACTTCAAACTGGAACTCTTCTCCAAAGAACGGACTGTAAAAACAAGAATATTATTTTGAATCGCTCACCACAAGTTACGACAAACATAGGAACAAGAGATGACTTTGAGAGTTTTCTTGGGTACCCAATTAAATACTTTTTCTTGTGTAAAATCATGTAAACATGATGAGGCCACTGATTTTTTTAGCAACAAACTCCCAAGCTCAAAAAATCTCTCCAAAGTTGAGGCCGTTATAGAGGGGATCCTCCAAGCTTTGCTGAGAGTTCATATTTAAATCCAGTCAAACTCTCCATGTGTACTCAAATAGGGTGCAAATACATTAGCAAGGTTGGAGTCCCCCAAAAAAGCGGCAAACCTGTTAATGTAATGAGGATGAGCAGATGCAGAAATATTTCTATGATGATAAAGAGTACCACATGAGATTACTTACGATCTGTACTAATAATATCTTGATCGAAATAATAGAAGCGATAATTAGACAAACAAATGATCAAAGAAAAAAAGAGCTTACTTCAGAGTTTTTTCGATGGTGGATGTTCGAAATATTTCTTCTTGGTCCAGTGAAATGGCACAGTAGACATCTCGGTGGGAAACTGAACCATGATTTCTGGCAGCTAAGTTTTTTGCTTCACCTGTGATAGAAAAATTGATGAACAGCTTTAATAATACTCTTACCCTATTCACATGCAGATCACATTTTTGGCACTTGTCATGGCAAAAATGGAGCAAATGAGGCAGAAAATTTACCAAGGTGGGGGCAGTCAAAAGTAGGAAAATCAGTGAGGAAAAATAATCTAATAGTGTTAGCGACAAATTAGGAGATAAAAATTACTAAGAAAATTGTAGGGAAGTGGTTCTAACTTGTTGTTGTTGTTTGTTTAGGTTGATTGGCCTAATTCCGCCTTGAGGATAAACAGCCACTTGACACTCACATGAGAAGTTGTAAACAAATATTAGGTGCGTTGTCGAAGTAGACTTTTCTGATTCCGTTAGGTTCTTCCGTTTCCAAACCCAAACCAACAGTCCCGTCAACCTCCTGAGATTGTTGAGTGTTAAGTAGAAATGCCAGGCTTTCATATGTAAACATACAAGCCGTCCGGTAATTCTAACGGAGACCAACAACACCGACCATTTAGAATCGGGTAATTCCCTTTCGTAACAGTTCCAAACAGTTCGCCCCAACAACACAGCTAAATTAACTAATCTTTTCACATAACCTAAAACTTCTATTAATACATCATCTCAATACCTGTGGCCAACTATGAACGCATGTGATTCACGGCTTTTAATTATTGCGAAAAATCAATGCAAGGAGGATGGAAAATATCATAGAGAGGGACACATTACCACAAATTAGACCTGTAAATCAGTATGATTCAGCAATCTGTATAATGCGACTCATGCTAAGTAATCTAAGGAGGAGATACAATCTGGAGAACTGCTAGAGATTTGCGGTCTATATTTTCATGGACATTCTGGCTTACCTGCTTGAATTCATATTAGGTTAGGAGAATGAGTCCATTGATTTTAAACTTGTACCAGAGTATTAACGCAGGATCTCTTGCAAGACCTTTTTCTAAGACAAAAATCCTCAAGATGTGGGAACAAGTAATTCTGTGTGGGCGGGCAGGCACCTCACAGCAGTTCGATGGATTTCAATACATAAATCTAATAGTGACGCAGTCTGCCAAGTGCAATAGTTCGCCACTCGGACTTGACTTTCAGTTTATGATCAAAGTGTGCCCCTAGTGGTAAAATCAAGCAGAGAATAATGAATGATACAAATGAGGTTAGACTGGTCGTAAGCAGGTGCATCTGCAGTTCACTGAGAGGCAAATCACGGTTCCACCACGACACACAAAGGAGGTTGCATACATTTCTTCCCAATGCACCAAGACACAGCATCTTTACAATGATTAAAACCGATGGGATGTCATCGATACGATGATTATAAGCAACACCTGAGCAGGTAAATACAATTGATAGGCTCAAGCAAAGAGGGCATCGGGAAGTTGATACCCGATCGAAACACGCAGAGGTGTAGCCACGGAAATAAGTCACGAACGCGCACAAAACATGGTTTTCGATAAAGCACAACTTGGATATCACTGGGATGCTCACCTATTTTAATTTTGAGTCTTTCCTCCGTTCTGAAGAGCGTATTTGCGTCCGCCATGATCACAGCACAGCCTCCATTTATCACTTCTCACTCCACTCCAACTTGTTTTAAGTTTTACTCGATTTTTCCTGCCTCTCGGCAAACTGGTTTCTTTCATAAGCGATGAATGAGACTTCTTACAATCAACTGTGATTGAATCCCCACCACCGAGCACGAATCCAGGACCACTCAGCACACAGGTCGCTTAATCCCAACGTTGCCGAATTTGGCGCATTTCCTGTCGCTCTTTATTCCCTTTCGCGCACTAATCGGGGAAATTCCCGTTGAAAAACACGCTTTCGTGATTGCAAAGCATGCGAAATTCCTTCGTGGCATGTCGTTCGATCAAAAAGACGGCGTTTTCATTCATAAATTCGCTTAGCGCCGCGGAAATCCGCGGCGTTCAGCGCGGCAACGCTGCGGGACGCGTTCCGAGCCCAGCCGAAGTGCCCACGAACGAGGAGGAGAAAACAATTCATGAATTAAAATTTCCTACAACTATGTTTGAGTATTCGCGTGTTCGGATTTGAATGAAGTGCGCGTTCCCATACTCACGCAGCCGATAGCGGTCGGCGACCGGGACGAAAACTTGGCGTAATCAACCTCATTTTTTTTTCAGCGAGCCCCGTCGCTGTCGGTTGCAGATGCGGCAGAAAATCCCCGGTGAATAATGCACAGTCACAATGGAGCGAGCCGCGTTGCGCCGCACGATCCATTAATTAATCCGTTCACGAATCGGCCGAAATTTGGTTCCCCGTTATAGCTTCGCGGCCCGGTCAGCGCGCCGCGGAATCGAAATGCACGTCAATGAGGGGCATCAGTCACCTGCCCTACTTAGCCTAAGTACCTCCAGGAATATCATCTTCTCGCACCCCTCTTCTGCCGTGCTAAGGAAAAACGCCGTATGAACATTCGAGAGTTGCCAAATTTCCTCTCTGAGAATAGTTAATTTTGAAGAAAGTTTCGAATATATTTTCTCCTTGAAATTTTCAGGAACTTTCGGTGAATCTAAGAAAAAAATTGGAGTAAAAATCTTCACAAATTTGTCCGAAAATTCGTGATTTATCGAAAGAAATTTGGCAACACCTGAAGGTTCATACGGCGTTTTTCCGTAGCACGGCAGTTTTCGAATGCCGGTGGCGTTTCGTTTTGGGTAGAGAAATTATACGGGCGATTTTGGGAGTAGGGGATAGAAATTATTCCAAAACATCCGAGTCCTAGTTGTTACTCATCGTAGGATTAATTTTAATCCCAGGAAAATTGCGGCTACTTACCGACGTCAAGTGTGTGAGTCAATGAATCATCCTGGAAGTGATCGACTCGACGTCACGCACGCACGATGGACGCTATGGATTCCCCGAACGATGATTCTTGGTAAAACCGGTAGTAGAGCCTGGAGATAAATAGTCAACTTCACGGACTTGACCTACCTAGGAAATTCAGGAGGAACATCCTCAGGGTGACACGCAGGGATTTTTTTGCGGCAAAGAAGGGCACCTTATCCAGGGGGTGAAGATTCTGGAGGCAATCCTCCAGCCCTAGTAGCATTTTTCAACGGGAAAATCGAGATATTTTGAAATTGAGTTGAGATTTTTGACGATTTTCTGGCGATAAAATCGCTAGGATTACCAATATCTGAGCGATTATCCTTAATCTTGTCGCGATTTCATCTCTGTAAAATCGAAATTTTATCTAAATTTATCACTTTTTTTGTCGATAATATTTCGAGAAATCGCCGTCGATGAACCGCGATTTTATTGCAAAATGCGATGTAATCGCAATTTATTGCAATTTCTTTTTATTTTATATATATTATATGTAATATTATATATAATATATAAGAAATAGACTCCAAAAATGATTAAAATTGCGTTTCCAAGGAGATACATTGTTAAGTCCTTTCGGGAACGGATCCACAACCCCTCTCGTTTTAGCACAAATCCCCCAGACCCCCATTAGAGGTCCCAAAACGGCAGAGGGGACCCCCGAACTCCGCCGATCGCCTCCTAACTTTTTCGATGCCAGTCCACCTCTACCCTACTCTGATGTCGCTCCTCTGACTGGAGGGTGTGTCTCAATTCCTACGTGAGCCCTGTTCTCCGTATAACTCCGCTTTCCGCGGCTCAAGCGAGTACAGAGACACGCCCTTACGTCAGAGCTGCGACGCGCGCGTGCGTACGGCGCGGCGTAGATGGCAGCGACGCAACTTTCACGTGTCGCAACTTCCAACGCCGGTCGGTCGTCGTCGGGGCCCGGGGCCTCGCAGGGATCCATCCGGAGGAAGCGGGAAACCGGGGCCAGGGATCCGGGGGGATACCTGGTGAATGGAATTTGTCAAATTCATGAGGAGGCAGCGGTTTAGCCGGCTGGGCTCTCCTGGCTGCTTCCGGAGCAAGCTTGATTACCAGGGCAGCGCCGCGCGGCGGTCGAACGCGATCCATCGATAGTCCCTTCGACGACCGTCCGTCCCTCCGCGGGGAATGTATCGAACTTCGATCCGTCGAACGTCGAGAGTCGGAGGGAGGCCGGGTGGCGGCCCGGATCGGAAGTGGAGTTCCGGGTGGCGATGCTCCCGAGGTGAGGTCGAGATGCAAGGGTGGCTTCGTCGCACAGTGATCAAACGCTAGACAGAGATGAATAAACTTATTTCGCTTATTACGGGAACGACATGTCGACCGTTGACATCAGTGGCGTGGCGTGATTTGCGATATCGTCACCTTCCAGGCAAAGTATCACAAGCGCCATGCGACGTTTAAAAATTTCCGCCGCCATTTTATTTTTTTACAAAGAAATTGTTCAACGAAGCTGTCCAAAAATTTCACTGAATTTTCTTTGTGCTGCCTATAAAATTTAGTGAAATTTCCAAACAGATTCAACCAACAATTTCTCAGTAAAGAAATAAAATGGCGGCGGAAATTTTTAAACGTCGCATGGCGCTTGTGATACTTTGCCTGGAAGGTGACGATATATCGATTGATACGCCACTCAAACCTATGAAAAAGGATCGATTATCGGGGTGTTCGCAGCGAACACCTTAGAAATCGATTCTTTACCATAGCTTCAATTGGCGAGATATCGATAATCGATCATTCACGCCACGCCACTGGTTGACATCCCTCTGCAGATGCGTCATTCTGTGGTTTTTCGGTCCACTAGCGGCATGAAAACAGTGATAAATCAGTCTTGATTAGTACCAAGCTCGATGACTTAGCCGATCTTAAAGCCGCGTATACCTCCTCAAGTACAAACTTACTAAATTTTCGCGCAAGTGTTATTTTTAATGGGTCAGAAATCAACACTGAAGAAATTTTCGTGGATAGCTGATTTCCTTTTGATTTAAGCTTAAATGGACGTATTTCTATCAAACAGACCTATGTGGAGGTGAGATATATGGGGTGTGCTCGTCGAAGCTGCATAAGAAGCGATGTTAAAGTGGGCGTGATTCCTTTTGAAGAATTGCTGGAAAAGCGGGATTTTACATTTTATCAAACAGACCTATGTGCCAATTGAATGCGGAACTCATGAGCCGCGGGCATGGTAAGAGAGCGTTGTGGACAGGCTCATGAGTTAAAGACACGGATCCGCGGATCGGAGTCTCCATCGTCGCCGCTGACGTCACTGGTGCTTCATTATTCTCATTCACTCTTACGGCCAGAGAACTAACAAGCACACCCCATATTTCTCACCTCCACATAGGTCTGTTTGGTAGAAATACGTCCAAATCTAATTGAATCATGAGTATTTTTTCTTGTCAATGTTTTCAAGAGTCTAGACTCTAGATCCAATGTGTTTTTTTTTCTTTTCCAGTGCTGCAATCTTTGCGAGGGAAAAGGAATCGTGACTTTCAATAACGGAGCGCACCTAAGATCTTGGATGCAAAGATACATTTCGATGTAGGGCCGGACTGGCTCACATCTGAGGGTGTGGAGAACCCTTGGCCGGTTTAGGGGTTGTAAAGGCAGATCAGCACAATTTTACACTATTTTCAGGTTCAAAGTTAACTAATCTTACAGAGTAAAACTTGGAAAAATTGACCGTATTAAATAATCTCGAGTAACCTCAAAAGGCTTGTGAAATGAAAAAAAAAATCCATTAAATCGCAGCTGTTAGACACAACAAGTACCATTATTTCCAGAGGAACCGAGCCTCAGCTGGCGATCTAAGATACTGCTTTTAAAGACTAGAAGTCTGAAAATAATGTACCCAAGAAACATGTTAACTTCCCTCTCGAATTTGGGCGACATGCATTAGTAGCATATAGCGGAGCATTGAGAGCTTACACCTTGCGGTATCACGCCTTCAATTTTTCAAATGCAGCATGGACATCCATCAAGTACGAATAGTTGTATCTCTGCGCCGTCACTAACGCGCGTCCTTTCTTTTGCTCTACTTCCATATTCTGTTTGATTCCGTTTGTCTAATTCGTAGTAGTGTTTCAAGGGTTACGTGAGTAACACAGCCGAGAGATAGGAAAGACGTAATCCAGCCTCATTTTTTATTTAACTTTTCTCCTGAATCCGAACGATACCTTATTGGCAACATTGAGCGGAGCTGCGGAGTATCGAGAGTTTACGCCTCGCGCCATCGCGCCTTCAATTGTGCAGATGCAACACGGACATCCATCAAGCACTAATAGTTGTATCTCGGCGCCGTCATCAACGCGCATCCTATCCCTTGCTCTATTTCTCTTTTGTGTTGGTTTATGATTTCATTTGTCTCGCAAACGAAAAACATACTACAACTGGATCACAAAAGGAGCCAGCGTGATTATACCGTTTTCAAAATCGTGCAACTTCATTTTTTAGCATAAAAATACTAAATATATGTACAGTATCAAAATTTACACAATTATTATCCCTTAAAATTAATGATTTTTTGGTGGGATGCAGAAACTAATTACTATATCGGGACAATTTTTGGATAATTATGAAGAAACAACATTTTAACAACATTGCAATTGCTCTGGTTCCTTTTTGCTATAAATACGATCCAAATAAGGGTGCTTTAAGGGCTACGAGAGCAACACAGCCGAAGATAAGAAAGATGTAATTCTGCCTCGTTTTTTTAAACTTTTCCCCGCGTCTCACGAGCAGCATACAGCAGAGCATTGTGAGTTCAGCCTCATTACTCACGCCATCGCGCATTAAATTTAATAAAAAATATTTAAAATAATATTTGTCCGAGAAATCGTTGCTGGGATCACTGTGCGACTTGTGTAGATCTCGATTTTGTGAATGGATCCGGGGAGGCTCACAATCAGAAACGAGGGAGGATGGATAATGATTTAATGATCGGAGTTGCCAGGCGGTGACGCTAATCAGACACACCCCCACCATGCCTTTGTGCAAATTCAAAATGTTCTCCCGAAAAAAACTTGCACGTATGGATTTGAATCCAGATCAAACGGGCAGCCTCGGTCGAGCTTGAGCCCCACACTGCCGTGCTAAGGAAAAACGCCGTATGAACATTCGAGAGTTGCCAAATTGCCCCGGATAAAACATCTATTTTTGAGGAATGTTTTGCACATTTTTCTTTGAAATTTTCTGATATTTTAGATCGAATTGCGGACAAAATTGCCTGAAAAATTTGAAGAAAAATATTCACAATTTTCCCATTAAAAATTCGTCTTATATTGAAGGAAATATGACAACGTCTGTAGGCTCATACGGCGCTTTTCCTTAGCACGGCAGCACCTTTCCCGCCTTATCATGTTCCCAGATGTCTCGAAATCAAATGAATCGTAAAGAGTTCATAACTTCATCACCTTCCGGCCAGAGTATCACAAGCGCCACGCGACGTTTAAAAATTCCCGCCGCCATTTTATTTTTTATAGAGAAATTGTTGGTTGAATCTTTCCGAAAATTCCACTGGATTTAATCGGCAGCACAAAGAAAATTCAGTGGAATTTTCGAAAAGCTTCGTTGAACAATGTCTCGTTAAAAAATAAAATGGCGGTGGAAATCTTGAACCGTCACATGGCACTTGTGATACTCGTATTATGAATGGAGGATCTCACAGCTCTCTGATGAATCTTCAACACTTCAGAAAACGACTTGGTAGTCGATCAAATAATTGATAATTTCATGATTTTAGGACATTTTGTTAAACGAAAAAAAATCTTCGAACGTCACATTACGCTACAGCCCGTCGAGTATTTTTACACTGATTTGATGACAAAGATTTTTAAATAATTTTAAAAGTGCGTCCCAGATGAAATACTTAACGCAAATCCAAAGACAAAATTATTCGCGAAATTAACCTGGGGCGCATTTTTAGGGCTATCTGAAGTGTTCCTCTATCGAATCTCTTGTCTGAGTATGTGTCATTCCATAGTCTGATGTGATGCACAGAAATCTCGAGGAAATGCCCGAAAATCAAGGAATTCGCAATCGATTGATCGACTATTGACTCATTCTCCAAAGAGCTACAGAGGATTACGGTAGGTACTTCAAGCTTCAACTCAAAATTTTTTCTCTCTTGTATTGTTTCAACAAGAAATTGTACTTAACAAAGTTACACACCATAGACACAGCGATGTTACTTCGCTAGCCGTTCTTGCGAAAGTCGTCAAGAATAATTAACTACACGCTCGGGGATGGTGTTGCCGTTTCCATGCAGATTTCATTTCCTCTGAATTTTTTAATGCGCTCACTACTCATTCAATAGAAGGCTTATTTTAAAAAACGGCAACGCAGCTCAAACGATTCCCGCCTGCTGTGTTAATAATCGCGCAAATTCTGTAATCCTTTCTTCTTGTTCTTCCGGCGGAGGACGTGTCATTGTGTCGATTCAGCAGTAACTGAGATAACATTTTAGACTTCGTCCGCCTTTTTGGATATTTTCCTTGGGAAGCTTCCTCTGACGGAAATGCTTTTTGCATTTTTGCAAAAGCTAGATGTAGAAATAAGTTTTTGCGTCCTTTATCGAGAGATGCGTGTTGACTTTGGCACCCTCGGTTAATAGTCTCGACGGATCGTAGGAAGCTTGGAATGAACTAGAGGAAAAAACGCCTTCAAATGAGTGGATACGCAAACAAACATACATCCACACAGTACTAAGCAACAGCAGTGTGATCGAGGAGCGACGAAACCCCGCTCAGTTTCTTGGACCTTGTCAGTTCCTTGACCGTGCAATACTGCCGTCCTAAGGTATAACGCCGTATGAACATTCGAGAGTTGCCAAATTTCCTTCAATAACATTTTTCTTTTTGAGGAAAGATGTGAATATTTTTCCCTAAAATATTCAATTGCGAACAAAATTATCAGAAAAATTGGAAGGAAAATAGTCATACGTTTACCGGGAAATTCGTGTTTTATCAAAGGAAATTTGGCAACGCTTGAAGGTTCATACGGCGTTTTTCCTTAACACGGCAGAATAGGTGACCCATCGATGGCCAAAAAGCGAAACCACGTGTCTTCGCTTGTGACAAAGCAGACCTCCTGACATGCTTTATTTTATTTTCGGAAAACTAGTCATTGTAATTTCTAGAAAATTTCCGTGATTTTTTTTTCTCTTCGCAGAATATTTTGTAGCTATGAGGTTGACTTGTCCCTCCTTGAAAAATTAAAATTGGTGTTGAAATTTTAGAACATCGCAATGGATATACGTGGTTGCGCACTTTGACCATCGATAATCTGAGTGGAGTGGAAACACTCCGATGAGACAGGTGTACTTATACAAGATTATTATCAAAAGTAGACACAATTTGAACGGTCGAGTAAAAAAAGGCTAAAACCAAAAAAGAAATATAAAATAAAAACAGAGACGATATTTGTAAATAAGTTACAAATGCCTTATTATTCGGATGGAAAAAACTCCTAAATTTTTAAAAGATATAAAAAACCAAAATGATAGCAAGCAGTATTACATTGTGTGGAAAAAATCTCAAGATTGTTTGTTATTACGCGGTCAAATTACGAAAAGTCATACGGGTTACAGATTACTGACCATTCAGAATCCTTCTATTAAGTTTTGTACTTCTAAATTCTGAGGCTCAGGAGGGAATGGAATTCCTTACTCCCTTTGCTTGGTTCCAACTCTTTTTAGTTTAATTGAGGGGCTCGGAGGTCAAGGCGCATAAGTGCAGTTTTTGCTATTTCAAAAAATACGTATTTATAGTTTCAAAATTACATGGAGCCTCATGGCCAGGCCCGGACTTAGGGCGTGTGCAGGGCGTGCGGCGCACACGGGCGCCAGCCTTTGGGGGGGCCACGAAAGAAGAAGAGAGGGAAAAAGAGGGGGGAAAGGAAAAGGGAAAAAGGGAAGAAACGACAAGGGGAAAAAAGGAAAAGGAAACAAGGTTGGGCAGTGAAAGCAAGGAAGAAGGGGGGAAATGGAAGGAAAAAGGAGGCAAGAAAAGTGAAAAGAGAGTCCGCGAGAAAGGGGGGGGGGCATAAAAACTATAGACAAAATATAAAGAGAATTGCCGTCTAAAGGTAAATTTTCAGGACAAAAACTTCACCTGGTCCATAGACTGTCAGGCGCCCCTTGACCCTAAATTTGCGGCTGTACAGAAATACAAGAGTAGGCATGTAGTAAGGGGGCGCCATAAATCCATCGAACAGGAGCCGACATAGCATTTTAGGCCACGTCCGCCATTTTGGATTTGAGAATTTTTAAACATAGTAAAAATTCGAGTTTCCGGTCGAAAAATACCCTCAGACACCGAGTTTCAAAAAAATCCATCGAACAGGAGCCGACATAGCATTGTAGGCCACGTCCGTCATCTTGGATTTGAGAATTTTCAAAAATCGACCTAAAATTCGAGTTTCCCGTCGAAAAGTACCCCTGATCCCGCGGTTCACAAAGCTCTAACGAACAGAAACAGAGGCCAGAACCGGGGCTCATTTTAGGCCACATGCAACATTTTGGAGTTGAGAATTTTAAAAAATTGACTAAAAATCCGAGTTTTCCGTTGAAAAATACCGTTTGATACCGCGTTTCACAAGACTCGAACGAACAGAAACCGAGATAGCATTTTAAGCCATTTCGGATTTTCGAATTTTGAATTTTTTGAATTTTGACAGATTTTGATTCAAAACGCGTGATCCCCAAAATCGAAGCTCAGATTCCGATTCCTCGTAAAAAATCTATGCGATTTCATGTATCATACCCTGACACCGAATTTCAGGAGAATCCATCGAACAGGAGCCGAGATGGCATTTTAAGCCACTTCAGTCATTTTGGATTTTTGAAGTTGAAAAATTTCACTTAAAACGCGTGATACCCAAAATCGAAGTTCAGATTCGGATTCCTCGTAAAAAATCGATGTGATTTCATGTATCATACCCTGACACCGAATTTCAGGAAAATCCATCGAACAGGAGCCGAGATGGCATGTTAAGCCACGTCAGTCATTTCAGATTTTCGAATTTGGACAATTTGCCTTAAAAAGCGTGATACCCAAAATCGAAGTTCAGATTCAGGTTCCTCGTTAAAAATTGATACAATTTCATGTATCATACCCGAGCATAGCGTGAAGGAAAGAGACGTAACGTAGACATACTGAATCGAGCATATGAATCCAACGTGGCAACATGGGTAGTGCTCAGTGGGTCAGCGGAGGAGGAAGAATAAGAATTTATCTTGAGGAATTCCTCGGGACGAAACCGAATGCTTAGCGCTGGCGCCTCCCCGTTCGGTTTCATTCGGGCGACCCGCGCGGCGGCGTAGTTCAAAGGGGCAGTACGACAGAATCTATACGCGTCGTTAAACCTTTTTCCTTCACGCTATTATAACATATTATACATGAAATCTCATCAATTTTTCACGAGAAATCCGAACCTG